ATAATAATAATGATAACTCACAGAATGACAAATAAACATAAGAATATTCTTTGAAAAAAGGCTCTGAAACATGGGGCTCAAGCAACTGATTTCCCCCCCCCCCCCCAGGTAATGAATATCCCCCTCCCCACGCCTAATAAAATTTAAGAAGCAGCCAAGAAGCCCCCCCCCCCCCCCACACCCATTTTTCCTCCCAAATATCTTTTCTATTTTTGTGTGTGTGTTAATCATTTGTTCATGCATTTCAAAAATAGTATTCTTATTTTTATTATAGTGTACTAAATGGGGGGGGGGGGGGGGGGGGGGGGGGTGTTGCCTAAAGAAAGTCAAGAAAAACAATGAAGGATAAGATAAATCGGCTCTCCTGTCAAATCCGGACGAAGAATTAAAAAGCCTTGGACGACTTATAAGAGCTCCGGCAAAGAGTGTCGTGGTGAGTGGAAGCCAAGCTATTTTAGGAACAACAACAAAAGTTCGTTAGGCCGGGACTAAAACCTATTGTGTCCTAGCCATGACCGGATATATTGAGTGAAGTCTTGTTAGCATTAACAGCAAAACCAGACGGTCAAAATAAGAAACACTGCAAAACTGAAAAAGCATTAAAAAAAATGCACCACTTCTCCAGTGCCAAGACTAGAGCTGCGTTGGCAAGCACTCTATAAAATCATACTGTCGGATCTCAGCACGGCATCTGATTTGTCGAGTTCTACTCCGGCTGTATTTACTATACAAAAGCATTTGACTGTGTGAAGAAGTAATCAGACTGTTAGAAAAAATTAAACATTTATGGGAAAGATCTACGAATAATAAAGAATATGTATTGGCAGCAAACAGCAGCTATAAGAATTAACAACTGTTCAGGTACATTTCACAGCATAAAGAGGGGCGTACGACAAGGATGTGTACTGTCACTTGATTTGTTTTCAATATGCAGTGAATATATAATGAGAGCTTTAATTGGTATGCCCAGAATTGTGGTTGGTGGGCACAATATAAACAATTTACTTTATGCTGATGACACAGTCTTGATAGCAACAAGTCAGAAAGAACTACAGGAAATGATAGACATTGTGGTGTTAGAAAGTGGAAGAATGGGCCTCATTTTGAATAATGAGAAGACAGAAGTAATGGTGGTATCAAAAAAACGAATTATTCCTAAGTGTGTAATAAAACTTGATGGTGTTATTTTAGGACAAGTACAGAAATTTAAGTATCTGGGCACATGGATAACATCAGATGGAAGATGCATAACTGAGATAAGAAACAGACAGGCAAAAACTGCATTTTATAAAATGAAAAACATCTTGTACAATATATCCTTGTCATTGAGAGTTAGAAAAAGAATTCTTGCTTGCTACATACATCCAGTTTTAACATATGGCTGTGAATCCTGGACAATCGGTAGGCAGGCCAAACAATTTCTGGAGGCCTCGGAGATGTGTTTTTACAGAAGAATGCTTAGAATACCTTGGACAGCCACAAAGAGCAACCAAGAGGTTTTGAAAGAGGCGGGAGCCCGAAGACAATTTATCACAGACATCAGAAGGAGACAGTCATCATTTTTTCGGCCATGTTATGAGAAGAGGGAAAATAGAACATGTGACCACTGGAAAGATCTGTGGAAGGAGAGATAGAGGAAGACAACGAGAAAAGATGCTTGACAGTCTTGTTGCATGGCATGGAGGTGTGTCGGCACACGAACTGATACATGCTGCAGGAGATCGCAGATTATGGATAGGCATGATTGCCCACGCCAGTCGGCAAGGCACCTGTGATGATGATTTAGCATCTCGTCTGCAGGAGCAATCGGTCTACGTTTGTGAAAGTTACCACTGGATAATATTGCGTCCGGTGCAGTTTCCGACACAGGCATCAGTTGAAAACAGCTATAGGGTTAGAATGCCCAGGCATGCGGTAAAAAAAAATTTTTGTAACGCTCTCGTTTTTTGCTGACAGTAGTACGAGAATTGAACCGGGATATCAATGTGGGTCTAATCATGAAATATTCTCAGAGACAGCGCGCTGCAGCCAATCTTTAGTGTCGAGAGGGGGCACAATTAATTTAATGGATGCAGTAATGTACACGCACATAAAGACAAATGAATGCCAATATCAGGGCAAAAATAATTGTTACTTGTGTGTGTGTGTGTGTGTGTGTGTGTGTGTGTGTGTGTGTGTGTGTGGTTACATTCTACATTGAGAGTGCTTAGCAGAAGTTGTGACAACAGGGAAGATCAATAGCACTAGAGACAGAGCTTGAGAGATTAAGGAAAAGATATATTATTTGTTTAAATAGTACTGAAAAGGATCCATGGTTTAGTTAATCAAGAAAACAAAAGACAAGGCTGTGGGGAATGCAACTACAACCGCTTTGCGGTACGATTAATGGTGAATACTATCATAGACATCCGAACTCAAAGATCAAGGCCTCAAAGATCAAGGTCCCTAGAGACCCCTCCCCTCTAGATTTTGTCATAGTATTTCCCAACTTGTCACAGATAACATTTTATCCAGGTTGAACATTTCTGGTCAATAGCTTCATTTATTTGAACATTTCAGGATCTCGTCCATTCTTATATTGCTCTATTTTAGTACAACAATATCAAGATATCTCTAGCTTGTACAGCCAGTTCTTCAGGTGTCATTTCCTTTTGTACAGACATCAAGACTCCAGAACGATTCCTCATTTCTACGTTGGATGTATCTGCCATTTTTGTGAGATCAAAACGAAGAGGCCTTGGTCACTCTCTTACTTCTGCTAAACCCCAGCATTGCTGTTTGTTTGCAGACTACAGATAAAGAGTTGTGGACCTTTTCCGTTTTCGAAATTGTCCCACCATGTGTAGCTGCATATGTTACACAATGCCAAAATACTACACTGTCCCCAAGTATTTTCTTCTTCTTCCTCTTCTTTTGTAAACTCTTGCGAAAGGTCTGGTTGATAGTCAACCTCTGGGTATTAGTCTTATTCCAGAACCTGAGTATTGCTTGCACATTAGTTTTACATCTGATTTATCTGCATGCAAACCATTGGTTCCTTGTCTCTCAGGCAGACGAACTCTGACTTCGAGTCAAGCCACTAATTAGCCGACTATTGCGACACCTATGGGGTTGTAGGGTCTATTATTGTTTTCCCCCACAATCCACATGGAGAACTTTTATCATTGTGTTGATGGGTTGATGTTCTCTGTTTATGCTCACGATTTATGTTCTCTCCCCCCAGTGTTGATTGCAAGTGATGATTGGGGCGGCTGTCGTGTTGTTAGTTGGTACATGTAACTGTTTACTTAAGACTTTCAGTTTGAAATATGCATTGGTTACTGATAAAGTGATGCCCATTGAAGTCTTCTTGTTCGCCGACACTCGAAACCTCGTGGTATTGTGTCTTTTCTTGCAACACCATAAACACGTGCGTGCAAGGAAATGAGCAAGCTGATCAGCTTGCAGGTAAAGCTACAAACGAGCAATGGACCATGCTGATACTCTGAATGCTCTACGAGAAGTAGGACGTTTGCAATAACTAGAACCAAGTGATGACTGCGAATCTGACACAAGAAATTAAAAAAACATGTTGAATGGGATGTGGCCAGACTAGAGCACTCTGCAGGAAGCCAAAAGAAAAAAAAAAGAATGAGAAACAAACACAGAACTGGTGTCATGAGCCGGTACCCGCTGCAGGATTTACCGAGGAGCGGATCAGAGCACTTGTGGACTGAATGGTTCTATGTGCAGTCGACTAAATAACTAACACCGATAAATAGACGGATTTGAACATCTAAACGCTTATCCTCTGGCCCTTCGGAGCAGTGATACCCAGTGCAGACAATTTCCTGTCATACAACTCCCTCTTTTCATTTACGTGTTAAAAGCACACATTTTGTGCTATTTTGTCGTTCATCTACGTGATGACACCCTATGCGGCCTGCATTCTCCTTGTTTTATCATTTGTAAAGTTCTTTATATTAGTAACATCTAGTTTGTTTATGTTTTACAACAACGGAACAATAGTTTTGCTCATCATTTTAGAGACTTATGCTTCAACGTTTGGTGTTGCTCGATGTGCAGTATGTTTTTTTTTTTTTTGCGTGTCCTTACTTTCTTCGTTTTTTTTTAACCCCCAATGGAGCACAGGTCCTCAACCAGCTCACCCCAAGTCGTTCTATCCTTCGCTATTGCATGCAGCTCTCCCCAAGTCTTTCTATCCTTCGCTATTGCATGCAGCTCTCCCCATCTTTTTTTTCAACAGTACTTTCTAGCTCCTTCGACATGTTTTTGTGTATTCTTTTATTTCTTTGTCTCTGTAGGTTCCGGTGTAAAGACATTCTAGTTATATTGCTATCAGGTTTTCTTTACGTGTGTCCTATCCAACGACAGCGTTTTTTCTTACCCCTTGGTTTACTGGAAAGGTCTCTTCGAAAGCTCTACGTTAGGGATTCTATCATACCATTTAATTCCCTCTATTCCAGTTAATGATTATGTTATTATAGTTTATAAGTAAAGCCTTAGCTGTTATAGCAGGTTTATCAACTTGGAATTTTCCAAATATATACTTTTCCATTAATTATAAGTGTTGCCTTTGAATACGCTTTTAACTCTATAGCTTATGTCTGTGTATCGACGAATTTAATTATTTTCAGTATTTTCTTTCCGTGTTATTTGTCATTTATCGTGTTTCCAAAAATCCTTTATAATTCAGTTAATTACATCCGTCACTAAGAATAGAAGATCCTGCTACAGGCGCTCCCTTGATTTCATTACACAGGGAAACTACACAGTCAATTATTTGACATGGCATTTGTCTTAGATCAGTTTAGTTATCGAACCCAGAATCAACAGGGCGTTAGCTAGCTCAAGCGGTTTGCTGGAATACCAGGCCTAGTACACGTTCGTGTCACACAGATCGAAACTGCTAATTTTAGCTCGGCAAGCTACACCAGAAGATACTGATATCAGTGAGCAATATATACACTCGCAATTTCTACATCAGCAACTTTAGAGAAATGGTAGACATGTTTGTATTTTATGATTTATGTGGACCTTGTGTTACAATAGTTGTTTTAATAATGATAGGTTTTAAAATGTTTTGTTTAATGAGAACTATCTTGGACCTCGGAAGGAGATTTGCGAGAATTGACACACCCGAACTAAGATGGTGGATATTTGTCACTAGACGTCCTAAGGAAGATAGTTCATCGTACGTTTCTTACTATTACCCAGCCTGTGCTTGACACTGTACCTTTATTATGAGTTGAATTTTGTTTGGAAAATGACACTTTGGCTTAGCTGTATTTGAGGAAGACGCTAGGTCATCTACGCTAAATGACCACAGTAAAACTATCTGGCACAGCGACAAGTTTCATATCGATTGTTTAGGTTAGAGCCTGACTGAACTAAAACGGTAAAGTAACAGACAGTAACAAACAGGATTTGGTTCTTTACGTTGAGCTGTCACTTGGGACATTGTAGACACCATGTTGTCGTTGTCTACGTTTGGTTATGCACAGTTTCTCTAATACACCGAAGTGCAAGGTCGTGTAATTGATTGAACTTCAAAATAAGGGCATATAAAATAATAGTAAATTTTAATTAGGTTAAAATTAAAAAGGCAAAAGGGCCTTTTAGTTTTTACTTGTACGTTTGTTTTCTCTGTTTACTATACTAGTACTAGAGTAGACAGTAGCATTGACCGTGTCTGTAACAAATTTTGCAGTTTTTAATAATATTAGCTTTAGATGTCCTTAGAGTTCCATCCTAGAGATAATAATATGATACACAATGTATTGTCTCCAAACATCTGTATGTAGTTATTGATGCCCATATGGATGCACACCTGCTTCTTGGCCTGTAATAAAACTTCAATTTATTCTAATATATTCATTTTTCTTTTGATGTTCCCTCTTATTCAGCCTTTTAGATTTCATGTATGGAATCTATTATGGCACCTCTAGTTCTCATCAGTTTTAATTGTAGGGCTTTTTTTGGACGTCTTCCATTTCTCAGAAAAATGCAATGATTCTTATAAACAGTGTGTTTCCATTATGGCCTTATGATTGAAATGAATCTGGCACCTTTCTTCTGAGCTAAAGAACACACTAAAATATATCAGTGGCTCTCCTCCACCTACCACATAAATTGCATTCTAAGTGGCTTGAAATAAAAATATTCGGCTCTCCTTTAAATAAGGGTCGCTAGCTGGAAGGCGACAGCCGCTTAGTCGGAGTTCACTGCCTTGGCTGCAGTGCAAATACGGAGCGGACAAGTCATGAATCAAAAAACAAAGTGAGGTCGACATGCCTGCTAGAGCTAGACCACGCGCTGCGACTGACAGTAGCGACCGCGGTTGCGACGCAAGACTCTCGTAGATTACGCGCTGTGACTCACATTAGCGACCGTGTTTCTCCGACCACGACTTAGTGTCTGTAGATGTGAGACCTGCGGATCTGTTTGTCGTAATGAGCGATAAGCTTCCGTCGTTTCCGTGATGTGTCACCCCAACCCTACCCCAAACCCTAACCCTACCCCTAACTCTAACCCAAACCCTACCCCTAAACTTAACCCTACCCCAAACCCTAAGCCTAACTCTAGGATGACAGGTAACTATATCATTTGTTTCATTCCCTCTTTACCACTCCGTATTTGCACTGCAGCCAAAGGAGTGAACTCCGACTAAGCGACCGTCGCCTTCCAGCTAGCGACCGTTATTTAAAGGAGAACCAAATATTCCATCTTTTACATTTGACCTTTGGCTAGTCACAGAATGTACATAAGCTGGGTCGATGTTTATCCATTTAGTAGATTAGACAGACTTCCATGTCTGTCAGGAGAACTGGCTTGAGTTACTAGAAACAGACACCTGACTGCATTTGTTGATAAAAACTTTCCTTTTGAGAAGGACCCATAAGTAGACATTTTCTTTGCAATCTATGTGTATTTAATTATAAATTTTACCATGAGTGTTCTGGGGCCCTATTTGTATGTATGCACAGAACTCAAGTTCTGGAACGACCAAAGTATATTAAAAGTTGACAAGCAACCAAAACTTTTTGCCAGAATTTACAGCCAGTGAAAGTTAAGAATATATAAAAAGAACATAAATTGGTATGATTGTGGTCTGTTTTTATCTTCAGATGTTTATGTCACTGAAGCAGTTACACATTTTTGGGTTGTTATCAGACACTTATGTCACAGCAGTAGTGGAACATTTTTAGGTAGTTACCAGTCATTTATTTTGCAACAGTAGTGGGACATTTCTGGGTAATTACCAGATATTTCTGTCACAGTAGCAGTGACACATTTTTGGGTTGTTATCAGACATGTATGTCACAGCAGTATTTGGCTATTTCTGGGTAATTACCAGATATTTATTTTGCAGCAGTAGTGGGACATTTCTTTGTAGTTACCAGATATTTCTGTCACAGTAGTAATATGACATTCCTAGATAGCTGTTCTGGATTTGGTACTGTGTACTTTTGTCACAGCAACGGCAGGAGATTTCTAGGCCGTTACCAGATATTTCTTTACAGTAGCAGTGGGACATTTTTTGGTAGTTACCAAATGTTTCTTAAAAGTAGCAAGGGGACATTTCTGGGTTGCTACCAGACATTTTCTTTACAGTAGCAATGAGACATTTCTGGGTAGTTACCAGACATTTTCTTTGAAGTAGCAATGAGAAATTTCTCTGTGGCTTTTGTTCTGGATTTGGTACCATAGATTTATGTCACAGCAATAGTGGAACAATTCTGGATGGTTACCAGACATTTCTGAACAGTAGCCATTGGATATTTCTGGGTAATTACCAGATATTTCTTAACAGTAGCTGTTGTTCTGAATTTGGTACCATATATTTCTGTCACAGTAGTAGTGGGACATTTCTGGGTATTTTTTGTTCTAAATATGGTAGCATATACTTCTGTCACCACATCAGTGGGACATTGGGTAGTTCTGTGTAGCTGTTGGGCATTTCTGAGTAGCTTTTGTTCTGGGTGTTGTACCAGAAGTGTTTGGACAGCTGTTTCCTAAATGTGATACCTTAGACACTTGTATATTGAAGAACAGGTTTGGACAGTCACAGAAACTGACCAGTTTAGAAAGTCGGACATTATAGAACTAAGGAATATAAATGGATCCTATGTGGCTATGAGATGTCGTAGTATGATGATGATAAATAAGCTGGTTAGCACTCAGTTGATGAAACCTGATCGAGGGTTCAGTGAAACGCAGAGATGGCCACCAGAATACTGTGTCTGGGTGAGAAAGTCACTGCCCGTTTCACAGGGTTTTAACTGACCAGGCCTGAATATTTTGACTCGACAAAATGACAGAGCATAGGGTCTTTGGAGGAGATTTGTGGGAGACTACCAGGAACCCATTTTTTGCTGGGTCAACCTGGAAACCAAGGTCAGTTTTGAAGAGCAAATCCGACTTGATGCAGATTTGAACTTTAGGCGAGCACTATGCTGCTGCAGCTGCCGAAAGTTAATATGCTTTATTGCAGTTATCCTGCATTGAATGAGAGTCTACTATAGATTGCTTTAAATAACTTACTGTTTTGCAGATGATGATGAATCACTCAGTTCTAGACCACCCTGGAAAGACACAGTCAGGCCCTAAAGTTCGAGACGTGCATGTAAGTACAGTAATTTTCCTGTGTGCGCAGGCTAAAGTTTTATATGTGCATGTAAGTGCAATAACTTCCCTGTATGGGTAGGCTAAAGTTAGACATGGGCATATAAGTACAATAACTTCCCCATACTCGCAGGCTAAAGTTTGAGATGTGCATGTAAGTACAGTAACTTTCCCCTGTGGGTAGGCTAAAGTTTGAGATGTGCATGTAAGTACAGTAACTTCCCCATCTGGGTAGGCTAAAGTTTGAGATGTGCATGTAAGTACAATAACTTCACCATCTGGGTAGGCTACATTTCGAGATGTGCATGTAAGTACAATAACCCCCATGTGGGTTCTGGTTCCTCATTTTGGAAGAAGACCCAGTGTACCTGTAACAAGCATGTTTTACAAGGCAGTTAATTAAGGATGTTTCCTTTGAAGTCAGAGTGCACCTGTCTGAGAGGCAAGGAACCAAGTCTATGTATGGATCAGCCAGGTCTTCGAAAAGGAAGTGCACGCAGAACTCGAGTCCTGGAACTTGACCAAAGCCCAGAAGTGGACAATTATAACTTTCCCCTGTAGTTTACAATCTGTGGACAATAAAAACAAAAAAGAGTACATTACATTTTCTAGGAAAAAACCACATTCCTTTGAAGTGTGCGTCTTTGTAAAATTGTGTGCCATTTCAAGTAACTTGCAGTATGTCAAGTGTTCAGTTGTATTGTTCAGTTGTATTAATCAGTCCAGTCAGTAATCTGCTGTAGTTAAAGAGTCTTCTGCATCGCTTCTTCCCTACTGAGCTGTAGCATTTTACAACAGACCGGTTTGCATTGGTTTTGACACTATCGAGACCCAACCATCCGCTAGAAGTGGTTAACTACTGAACGTAAATCGCCTAATAAATCAGCCAGACGGTGCTGGTATTGGTTCTGCGGTGTCCTGTAAGGCAGCATTCTTCAAATGGTGGCCTGTGGATATATCCTGTGGTCTGTTTATATGTCTGGGTGGTCTGTGGATATGTTCTGGTGGTCTGTGGATATGTCCTGGTGGTCTGTGGATATGTCCTGGTGGACCACCAAACATATCTGCCTAATCATGAAGCGGCTACATGATTCAGGCACTACATTGCTGCATAGCAAGTGAGACTTTGCACATAAAAATTTGGTGCTGCAAGAATATGCAAAAAAAAAATGTAACTGTCAGGAGTTCCCCAAATCTATTCCCCATTTTGCCTGTTCGCAGGGGTAAAAAAGTTTGAAGAATACTTTGGTGAAGGAAATGCAACTAACTTTTAAAGCTGCAAATAGTGTCAGGCTTCAAGAGCCTGGGGTGAGTTGGTTCATTATTCACTATGTCAGCATACAGCAGGAAGACAGAGAAAACTTTACCAGCACTTAATCGTCTTAGTGATTGATTATGGACTGCGGTTACTCACTGTGTCGAATAGTCAGCTAGAGAAACTGCACTGCATACATAATGAAGCTGTGTGTATGATCCTGGAATGTACAAGAGACACCCTGATTGTGTGCATGTGATACTATTGCCGACTATTGCAGATAGGCTAAACGTGCTGCAGGCTAAGTCATGCCTCAGAGTAGCTGCAAAGAGTACCCTCTTTATGAATCTTTGGCGGCAGTTAATGGTCTTAGGCTAAAAAGGGGAAAATCATGGATTGCTCCAGCAAAGACAGAATAAGTAGGCATGCTGGAGAATATTGGGCGAGGAGAGGAAAAGTCTGACCTAGGTAGGATCATGATCACATTGGGCAGAGAGTGACCAGTGGGTGCTAGGTGGAAGTCCAGCAGTTGATTAACGACAGTTCTCACCCAGATAATCTGATTATCTGTGTTGAGAGGGAAGAGAAGTGCTTGGGGGTTTGTAGTGAAAGCCAATGAACGATCTTTAGTGCAGGGCAGCCTAGCATACGATATCACAACATGTAATATGAGAATAGAGGCAGAAGCGGTCACTACAGCTTTCCAGTGGCTTAAAAACATAATGCATACACACATCTAAAGGCATGATGAGAAAGGTGAAGACAGAGATGCTTCTAGCAGAGTGGGTATCTTCACTGGGAAGGTCACAGGTAGTGAGCATACTTTGGATATTTTCTCCAGGCTATGCCGGCGTGGTGGGGAATGAACAGGCAGACAGATTGGCTGGATCTGATGAATTGATACATGACAAGGCAGATGTGTTCAAAGCCCTTTTGGAACAAGTAACCAAGTTAGAAGAGAAACAAGATTATTGTGACCTGGAGAGAATGGGTGTAACCAGAGGGTCTGGCCGGCTCACTACACTCAGAGAAGGGCAAGAAGAACATAAAACCAGATTACAACCGGTAGCATTAGTGTTGGAACTCTGCGCTGGGTGCTGAAGATGGGGACGGAGTGCACATGGTAATGCCCCGAGTGCTGTGATGTCAATTCTTGACTCAACTCAGCAGCAGGCAGGCACATATGTCCTGTTTGATTTATCTATCCCCATTAACACTTAGTGGAAGGGCAAGACTGACACACAGTCACATTGTGGCTGAAACTACTTGTATTAGAACTCTGAGAAATCAAGTTAACAAAAAAAAAAGGTTTGTTTTTCCTTATGGCCCAGGTTATGCTTCATCATCATCATCCTGTTATAGTGTTGATACATCACATATTGCTCACAGTTGTATATTCCATTTTGTTCTGTCATATGCAATTTGTTTTTCGTTATTGGGTATAAAGTGTAGCTTGACACCTCTGGCCTTCATCATGGGGTTTTTGTTGGATACCCTGTTACTTATTCCATTTGTTTCCTTCAATGCATATTTTGTTATTGTTTTTTCTCTTTATCTCAGAATATCCCCAACATATCACCAACTTCTTCTTTGTCCTCTAAGTGCCGTTCGTTATGGGCAGTTTGTCCAGACATTAGCTTATCGTGAAAAGATATCGAACTAGATGAAAACGTAGAACTAATTAGTTTCACAAAATCGCAATCACAAATGACAAGTGAACATGGCAGCTTCATACACTCGTGACATGAATAGACACTGTCACATTTACAAACAAGAATACATCAGAATTATTTAATTAACTGAACTGAGGTGTTTCCAAGAAAAGTCTACATGTCTGTCTGGCCGGTTGATGCTCTGAGGCATGTGTGAATTTAGGAATGAATACCAGCCTGAAAAAGATGTAGCAGGCAAAGGACCATAACTCAAAAATATTAGATAAAGCTGTATCGCATATTAAGTTCCTTGGGTGAGTTCGACCCCATTAAATAAAGTATTAAGCCCCAGACATTTGTACCAGACATAAGCTTATACTTAGTGAGAGTGGTCAAGCATGCATGTTAATATTATTATTTTTTTTTTCAAAGAAGAATAATCATAACTAATAGTGATCTATTTACAGGGAAGGTTTACTGTTGATCCTGAAATTCGCTTCACCAAATTAGAAATGATTGGGAAGGGTTCCTTTGGAGAAGTGTACAAAGGAATTGACACAGAGACAAAAGAGGTGTTGGCCATCAAGATAATTGATCTGGAGGAAGCAGAGGATGAAATTGAGGATATTCAGCAGGAGATTATGGTCCTGTCTCAGTGTGACAGCCCCTATGTGACCAAATACTATGGATCCTATTTAAAGGTATGAGCGTTAGTTTGCCTTGTCGCAGCTCGATGTCTTCAGCGACATGCATCATTTTATGTGGAAAAACCTTTCTGGTGCATGACAAAAGGTGTCAGGAATCTTTTTTACTGTCTTTCTCTATCTCAGTGTGTGAGGACCCCTGTATCATCATGTACTATAAGTCTGTTTTGAAAGTATGTGCATGACAATGCCCTACTGCATCTTATAATCTTGTACCATGACAAAAGGTTGTCTTGTTACATTTCTCTATTCTCTTTCTCTGTTTGACAACGCCTCTGTGACCAAGTACTATTGGTCTTATTTAAAGGCACATTACGATCCCTTGTCACATCTCATATCTTCTTCACCCATGTGGAAGGTTGTCAAGTATCTTCTCTTGCTGTCTTCTAAGGCTTTCTTTCCAGTACTGTTTTCCACTATTCACATGTTCTAGTTTTTCTGCTCTATCAGTGTGACTAAAATTGCTGACTATATCTTTAGTTTGTGCTATCACGGCTTCCCTACTGACATGTTTGCTGGTTGCTATTTTGTTTTAACCTGCCAGTGTTGCAGTTGGTGGTGGACTCAAACCTATGACCATTAGGCCAGCAGCATGCATACTGTGCAAAGGTGGCTTCCTCTGTAAATTTGATGTAGAAAGTAAAGATGAGGCATACTTATACATGATATTAGATATCATGTTCAATAACGTGCAGTTAATATTCATAACATCTCAATCACATCTATGCAAAATACTTTTTTATTCCTTTGAAAAAATTTTTTTTTAGATAGGAGGTGGGTGAGAGAGAATAGACCATTGCTCCCTAACAAGCATGTCACAAAAGGCGACTGATTAGGAGTTTGACGAAAGTGGACATACTGGGCCAAAAAGTGCAGATATCACAGCCTAGCTGTAACCTACAACACAAAATGCCAACCACCATTTTAAGGGCAGATGCAGAAGAAGAAACATTTTTTTGTAAATATTGGCACAGTTTATTTTGAAGTTTTTAGTTGAATCCTTTGTCAGAAGTATTGAGCACTCTTCTTTAGACTGACACCAGATAATTTATACTGTTGCATAATATTTTATTGACAGTGTTTGCAACAGATATAAGGCTCAGCTTGAGTCACTCCTGGTTTTATTGCTCATAAATTTGCCTGCCGATATCTTTCACACATCCTGTTTCTTGTTTTTAGTACAAGGTAATGCTAATCCCATGAAAAACACTGCCTAAGGCAGTGATTCCAAAACTGTGTGCCCTGGGAGCCTTGACCTGTTCACAGGGGCGCAGCGAAATATTCCAAGATAAACAATTTTTTGTATCTCTTACATAAATAGTCATACTTTTACCTAGGCTAGGGCGCTGGGAAAAATAGTCATTGAAAAAAAAAAGTGCCCTGACTAAAAAAGTTTGGGAAACACTGGCTTAAGGTGTGAAAGACTATGTATTTGACTTTTCTGCATATGCTGGTACTGGAGCTCTGGTAGTGCAGTGGCCAGACTGCCTGCTGGCCCAAATGGTGATGAGTTCGAATCCACATTTGGGTGGATTTTTTAAAATAATACTGGATAACAACATTTGATGAAAGTCATAGCACTGAGATTCAAGTAGCCATTTCTTACAGATTTTGAGGTGTTAAACACAAATATGACAATAAAAAAGTGAAATAGTCTACAGTATCTGAGAAATATGAAGAAGAAAATATTAATTTATAATGGAGTAATGTGTTTTAAAATATACACTCATATGTCCCCCCCCCCCCCCCCCCCCCCCCCCCCCCGCAAAAAAACCCAGTATCACAAACAGCAACAAATGAGTTATTTGATTCTGAAAAAGATGTCAAATGTTCTGTTCCTCATTGATTGCTGTGACGGTTAATGAGCAGGTAATGAATGTGAAGCATAGAGCACTATGATGGACACATGATATGTACTGGTTAAGGGTTTGCGAAAATTAGATGTGTTGGGCTGAGGCACAGACATAGCAGCTTAGCTGTCAACCACAATACAAGAACCAGCTGCTTGTTTAAGGATGGACGCAGAGGAAGAAATTAACTACACAAGTTGAACATTTGAATTAGATACACTGTTCTTACGCGTCTGTGAAACATTTGTTCTTCGAAGCATTCTTATGTAGTATGTTCTTCCGCGTCTGTAAAATATGTGTGTGTGTGTGTGAAGCATTCTCATGTAATCAGTCAAGTTGAGAAAAGTGGGTCAGGCAGCTGTCAGATAGTCATTAGCTATCATTCTGTATTGGGGTAGTTCTTTTAACACAGGAGCTATCTGTTTTGATGGGAGTGTGTCAGCCAGGGATTGGCACTTTAGTTTTTCTAGGAAGTACTTATCAGGGGAATTTTAAAGTGATACAATGCATTATCAGTTTATACACAAGCGTAGCTCATTCCATACTATAAAACTCTACAAGTTATTATGAATTTCATAAAATGTGAACATAGTCCATCCAGTTCAATAGCAGAGGCTTCAAAGCCATTGGGGTGTGAACGTATCAGAACTGCACAGCCCCCTATAGTTCTATAGTTCTGGAGCTCTGTTCCGGAGATAAAACAGATAGATTTACTGCCCCCTAAGCATGTCTTAAAAGACGACTAATTAAGGATGTTTCCTTTTGAAGTTTAAGAGTGCATATGCCTGAGAAGCAAGAAATCAACAGTCTGCATACAAAAAAGACAGATCTGTATGTAAAACAGATATGCATGCAGAACTCAAGTTCTGGAACAAATCCAGAAGTGTACGAATAACAACAACTTTCCATTGGAGTTTACAACCGGTGAATGCTAAATAAGTAAGACCTTCATATTGGGTAACGAGATTGTGATTTATCTCCTTTGTGCGTTCCCTGGGTTTAAACTCCAGCGGAAAGTTCTGGTTGTTCGTCCACTTCTGGACTCTAGTCCTGTTTCAGAAACTGAGTGTTGCATTTCATAGGTTTGACTTATTTGCATGCAGACTGTTGGTTCCTTGCCTCTCAGGCAGATGTGCTCCGACTTCAAAGGAAGCTCCCTTTTAGTCGACTCTAACGTCATGCTTTTGGGCAGGCAGTGGGTCTATTCTTGTTTTTTCCCACAAAGGTGCCACAGAACCCACATGGGTTACTGTTATATATGAGCTGGGATTACTGGTTCTCTTCCTCATTGCCTTTCTTGCTCTGGCAGTTATCCGTTAAGGTTAAAAGGATCAACTTCATGGCACTAGGTTAGCTCATATTGCTTAGTCCGTTTTCAAGAACCGACATCACAGCAGTCTGGGCATTCCCATAAGCGCTTCATCTCAATCTTCAGCAGCCAGTGCAGAGTTCCAATATTAATGGTGCCAGTAGCTTCTTCTTTTTCTTCTTCTTTTGTTCACCTGAAATAAGCTGTCTATATCAGCAATTTTGTCTCTTGTATAAATTTCACTGTCGTCGTTAGTTCATTCAATGGTCCATAGAGTTTACGTTCCACTGTTGTTCTTTCTGGCCAAAAGGTGTGCCTTAATGTGTCAAATTCAGTGCAGTCCTGGAGTACATGCTCTGCTGTCTGGGGCACCTTTCCACAGGTGCACATGGCTGATACGCCTAATTTAAATTTTGTGTACATGTGGTTGTGTAATCGGTTGTGCCCTGTTCTGAGGTGGAAGATAATGACTTGTTCTGGTCTGTCCATAATAAAATAGTCGTCTTGTGCTGGTGCTGGTGGTTTCCTGATCGATTTAATGATTCCTTTCTTTTGGTGGTATGTGACTGTACATCCGGCTGCACTTTTGTCGCACCTTTCCCTGTCAGTTGATCATCTTTCTCATTTCCAGGCACTCCACAATGAGACGGTATCCACTGCATTACGACTCTTCGCTGAAGGCTGAGTTGTGTCAGCAGTGTTTGCAATTCTGGTAGTTTCCTAGACTGGAGTGCTTCAAGTACGGATTTTGCATCTGTCAGCATTACCACATACTGTAAGCCAAGATTGGTATTTAGCAGTTTCTCTGTTGCTGTCTTGATAGCCTGAGTTTCTGCATCATAGTTATGGCAGTACTTCGCGGTTGGTACGCTGGATTTATCCCTAGTACTATCTGGGAATTCTATGTACACTCCAGCACCACCATTTCTAACTGCACTTTATGCGGACCCATCTGTATAGACTCTGACCCATTGTTCTTGTGGGTATTCTTCATCAATATAACTGAGGGTGGCTATTCTGAGTTGTACACTATCTTGTTCTTTCTTGTCAAATATTCCTTTCACATTTGTCTGGATTTGTACTGTTAGTTTGCATTTTTCTCTCCATGGGGTTTGTTCTGGAATACTTTTAAGTGGACAACCAATTTCTGGAAGTTCAGTAATTTGTCTACATATTTTTTTTGCTTGGTGTATCAAGCTGCTTCTTTTTAACCGTCCCAAGGCTAGGTTCTGAAATCTATTTTTCACCGTTTTCCCCAGCTTTCTCCATTTCTAATATGGGGGTTGATTTCATCTCTGCTGTGATGACTCTGAGCGCTTGATTTTGCACTTTGTCCAACTCCTTTAAAGTGGTACTAGATGCTGAACACCATGCAGTTGACCCATATTACAAGTGTGGTTGTATGCTCTGCTTGTATACTTTATTGAGTATTTTCCCACTGGCTCCCCATGTGGTTCCACTTAATTTTCTTAGTATTGCTGTCTTCCTCCTGGCTTTGGTTGCTGCTTTGTTGATGTGTTTTCTCCATGTCAACCTGTCATCAAATGTGACTCCAAGGTACATGGGCTGTTTATCATCTCTTAGGGGTATTCCGTTTATTTTGATGTTGGCTTTTTGCTTTGGGGAGAGAGTGAAGAGTGTGGTGCTACATTTGTCTGTGTTGATGCTGACACACCATCTATTCGCCCATGCCTCAAGTGCATATGTAGCCCGCTGTAGTGTTCTTGTGGCTATCGTTGCATGTTGATTGGTGCACCACAGTACCAGGTCATCGGCATACATTGCCATTTTGATTCCATTTGGTATCTCAGCAACCAGACCGTTGATGAATAAGAGGAAAAGTGTGGGTGACGGACACCACCTTGAGGGACGCCCTGTCACAGTAGAACTTTCTTACTTTTGAAACCATCTACCTGTACCCGAGCTCTTCTGTTATGTAGATATGCTTTAACCCCATTGTACATTCTTCTATTTACTTTATAGTTTCTCAGTTTCTTCAAAAGTCCCTCCTTCCAAACCTTGTCAAAAACTTTCCTTAAATCTATCCATACCAGTTTTTTATCTTGAAAAGCATCCTCTATTTCTTGGGAGAGGTATGTTGTCTGGTCTTCCATAGAGTAAAACTTTCTAAAGCCCTCCTGCTGTGGTGTTATGATGTTTTCACTTTCAATGTACCACTGTGGTCTGAGGTTGGTGATGCGCTCCATTGTTTTGCAGAGACAGCTTGTGAGGCTGATCAGTCTGCAGTTGGAGGCATTGGAACTGTCTTTCCCAGGTTTTATGAGGGGTATCATAATTGCCTCTCTCCAGATCTTTAGAACATATCCTGTTGCCAGTAACATTCTGAGTATGTGTCAGTCTTGCCTTTCCTTTGAGTGTCCAGTATCGGCCAGATCCCATCACCACTCCTCGCTGCATCACTCTGACTAGATTTTGATGATCAATTTGCTGTTCCGAATTGTACATGCACTTCTATAAGGCCTTAACCATGTCTACCTTATTGTGCATCAGTATTCCACCAAGTTGTGCAGAGCCAGCCAGTCTGTCCATCTGTTCATTTCTGAACACGCCGGCATACCCCGGAGAAAAGATCCTGACAGTTCTCTTCATCCATGACCTCCAAAGCGAAGCATGCCACTCTGCATGAAAAATGCTTGTCATCACCTTACTCAGCATGCTTTCTGAGTCAGAATCTCGATGTTTATGTGGATGGTATTCCCTAGCCAGTGGAAAGCTGCAGTAACCGCCTCCATCTCCATTCTAAAGCTTGATGTTGTGGGATAAAATGCTAGGTTCTGCTGCACTAAACTGACCTCCTTGTCCATCACTGAGGTCATAAAAATATCATATGTAACTCTTTTAAACACATCTTTGAGATCAAGCGCTGCCGCCATAATTTATTGTTCTGGGACCCTTCTGTCTCCCCAGAATGGCTAGCTGCCTGCCGAGAGTGTTGTGAGAGGATGAAAATCAGCTGCACATCCCAGAAACCCCATTCATCAGTATAGCCATAAAGCACAGTTATATTGGGGCAACGCAAAATGGTTATGGAGTGACTTGTAGTCCAGTGTGGATTGAGACACAACCTATGTTAGCCAGTGATTAACTCATATGCATTACCTCATCCCAACTCCCAAGTCCCTAGTAATAACTCCGGTCCCAGACTCATTGTAATTGCTGCTATAACTCTTTAAATTTCCCAGTACCTTTACTCTGTCACCCTGGGAAGGCTACAGAAATGAGCCATGCCCAGTGTCAGTTCCCCAGAAAATCCCCAAAAGACAGCTTTGTTACACAGGTCACTAAAATTTTACTTCTCTCCTCTTAAAAATGTTTTTATATAATATATAAAGATATATAATGGGAGTAATCAATACTCATGAACAGAATGAAGCAGTGAATGAAATACATTCTCCAGGGGCTTAAAAAAAATATGTATTGGGTGACTCATGCTATAATCCACATGACCACTGTCACTGCGTCATATGGGAAAATTTGATGCCATCTTGACTTTAAAAAGCTGTTTGCTTTACAGGAACTCCCTTACATTTGGTTTTTAGCTAATATGTTCATATTCCTGACCTTAATGTTTGCACAGGCACAAGCCAATTGCATTAACTATGTGTCTTGTAAACACATCACTGTAAAAAATAGGAAAGTGGCATTTTAGGATATTGGACCAGGGTGTGTTGGTTTTGCAGCTTTTAAGGGTGACAGTATTCTAATTCTTCTGTATCAAAACATAATGTAAGGTAAAAAAAAAATGGTAAGGATCAAACCTCCCATTATATTTATTCCTAGCAGAATAGGTCAAGCAAATAGCTGCTTTTTGGGAGAGACATCTTCTGTTCTTCTGCTTAGAACTAAAAAAGAGCAGTGGCATAATGTGTTGTGGTATACAGCCATGCTGCAGTATCTTCACTTTTTAGCCCAGATAATCTGATTTCAGCAAACCGTTTATTGGTCGTCATTTAGGACATGTCCAAAATAAATATTGAAAATGTTTTGTAAGAGGCGCAGCAGAAGTTTTAAAAATATACTGCAGCCAACAAAATTAGCATTACACTGGCTGATTGGGGGAAAGGGGGGGGGGGGAGAGAAATCACTTATGGGAATGCCTTTACTGCTGTGATGTCAATTCTTTACTCAGCTCTTGCCTGTTTAGGTTTCAAAATAACAGTTATGGAGTACCTTGATTTCTTCTTCTTCTTCTTAGATCCTTCTGTCAGAAAACTTATATCAGGAGGCCGGTAGCCTTAATGAAAGCTATCGTGCAATCCATATCCTCTCATGTACCATACAGTTTTGCCTTCAGTGTGGTTGGAACAGGCCAGATTGCGTCTCTATTGTCAGCATACAGTTGACAGTTTTGGAGCACATGCTCTGCATTTTCGAGTGCCACGCTGCAGGGACACGTCTCCGTATTTCCTACACCGAAAATTTTGAACATATGTTGACGAAATCTGTTGTGCCCAGTCCTTAGTCTGAATATAATTCACTGTCCCTCTCTAGAGAGGCGATGAAGTGAGTTTTGGGGAGAAAATCTGGTGTGGGTATCCAGCCACCTTTCTTGGATACTAGATTGTATTAATGTTTTCATCTCTTGGTGGGTTAAGTCGCTATTTGGTTGTACCATGTCACTGCCGTTTCTGGCCAATCTGTCCGCTATTTCATTGCCTTCCAAGCCACAGTGACCTGGAATCCACTGCAGTACAGATTGTTCTACTGAAGAGCCTAAGTAAATCAGCTGTTGCGTCAAGTCTACAAACTGAGTCTTTTGGGTTAACAATTGCTTGTAGAACTGACATAGCATCAGTCAGAAAGACCACTCTGCTATATTTGCTGTGCTGTTGTCCATTCAGAAAAGAACATGCCGCTAGAAGTGCTTCTGCCTCTGCTCTGTAATTGGAGGAATATGAACCTGTTGGTACAGCCTGGTTGATTTTTAAACCATTTGGGCATTCTATGTATATTCCTCCTCCTCCGTCTCTTACTGCTCTCTTGGCTGAACCATCTGTGTACACTCGAATCCAACTCTGGTGTGGATAAAGTCTATTGATCTCTTCTTCCGTAGTTGATTTCATATCAGTGCTGCTCATTGATGATTTGGAGGAGATCCCTGTTACAGTGGTTCTGACTGTTGGTACGCTATCATTGAGCCAAGGGGGGCGGCGTTGTAAGGTTTAAGTGGAACATTTGTTATTATGAGAGGGAGTTTAAGGACAGCGAGCTTGGCATTTGCGTTCTTAATAAAACATGTTCTCTTTAGTCTAGCCTTCTGGTGTTTCTGCAGTCGGCTGTGCATGGGTTGTTCTTTAAAGTGGTGGTATTTGGTTGATTTCATGTTTGCAAAATGTGGTGTTTGTTTCAGGGTTCTAAACTTTTGACATGTAATAGAATTCCATGATCTCATGTCTGGGAATTTGTTGTTGGTTTCAGGGTTCTAAACTTTGGATAATTATGGAGTACCTTGGTGGAGGCTCAGCTCTGGATCTCATGAAAGCCGGCACATTCACAGAAAATGACATTGCCATTATATTACGAGAAATCCTGAAAGGATTGGATTACCTGCATTCCGAGCGGAAACTACACAGAGATATTAAAGGTATATGCAGTTGTCTTAAGACATGATGTTAGTTTTTCAATCAGTCACTCAGTCAGTCATGTGCCATCTCCACATAGAAGGCTAGCTACGGTAGATCACCACAGTCTCCCTTGGTTGTACACTTTCAGAGACTGCAGTTCATCTGTATCCTAATGTTACCCTCTTATTTGTATCATTGCCAACCTCTTGCTCGTTTGCCATTAACTGACAAAATCGCCTCTTCTTAGTGGTGTCTAGTATAAAGACTCTTATATAAATATGTTTACACTTTATTGTTACCCTATTCTCGCAGTTTGCAGTGAAGGTGTCCTAGTATCCTTTGGTTTATTTTGTATCGTGAATGTGATCCAATGAATTTTATAATTCAGAATATTTCCTCGCTGCAAGTTTAAATAGTGAGGACATGCACAATATATTGCCTGACATAGTTCACTGTATCTTATCGGGTACGTTACCACTAACTAACTAGTTGAGTTGAGTCAAGAATTTATATCACAGCACTCGGTGCATTCCCATGTGTGCTCCATCCTCATCTTCAGCAGCCAGCGCAGAGTTCCAATACTGATGGTACCGGCCACAATCTGGTTATAATTTCCATCTTGCCTTTCCTCTGAGTATAGTGAGCCGGCCAGACCTGCCTCATTCTCTCCAGGCCATAATAATCATGTTTCTCAACTGATTCAGTTGCTTGTTCCCAAAGGAGCTTGACCACATCTGCCTTGTAATGTATCATTTCACCACCCAGTGGTGCAGATTACCACTAACTAGTGAAGCACAAAACAGTTCGGTTAAAGTAACGTTTTCGACCGCAGAAAGAGTGACTTCCCTACCCATTCATATCTCTCACGTCACAGGGCCTCTCCTGTTTTGTGGGGGTGTTATGATATGGTCTAGATCGGCGTTCGGTCAACGTATATATGTTTGGGGGAGGTTGTGTTGTCTGGAGTCTCTTTGAGGTGCCGTAGGCGCCTGTGTACAAGTGAAAAGTACTGCAGGGGGAAGCGCCGCAGGTGTGACGATTTGTGAGTATCGAAACTGGGATGTTTTTATATTTCTACATTCTTTGACGGAGAAGGCACTGACAGGGAATATAGAAATAATAAAACATCCTAGTTTCGATACTTACGAACCGTCACACAAGAATCAGAACGTGAAAATAATCACACAAGTGAGCGATGACAAACAAGAAAAGAGAGAGCGGTTAAAACATTGACAATAAGGAATACATGGCATGCCTGCAACATAGGAGAGGTCCTGCGACGTGACAAGACATGAATGGGGGGGGAAGTTAGTCTCTTTCTGCGGCGGAAAATGTTACTTAAACCAACAATCCTTTCAGCTGAAATTCACAAACAATATTGCCCCATGTTACATTGTACATCTCACCAGTAGAGGTCTCAGATTAACCACAGAAGTGGGAAGTGAACATGATGATCCTTTTTATGTTACTGCTGCCTGGCTCGCTAGCATAGTTGGTTAAACCTGACTTTACGACGACCAGGTGACAAACTTCTTGAGGTCTGGGTTCACGCCAAGGGGTAGACAGAAAAGCCACATTTCTCCTAGATTTACGGTATCTGTCATGGAATCAAGGCCGAAGGGTTGCGATATCCATAGTACTGAGCCAAAGGGTTAACAACTTATGGTTTCTGGATATTTAAAAAAAATTGTTACCGCTAGACTCTTTCATTTGTTCTATATGAAGCTGTATATTCCTTACTATACTGAAAGGACTGCCTCCTAAGAATGATGCAGGTCATCCCTAATGTTTCTACTATAGGTTAGTTGCGTATCCTTTATAGGACGTTGCAGACCTAACCCCAGCAGCCCCTAGCTGTTGTGTGGTTTCTCTAGACAAATTTACTTCCAGTAGTTTGCTATTGCTTTATGGGCTGTCGGCCTCATGATACCAATGTCGAAACCAAAGCAAGGCGCATGGCCCGCAGCTAGGAATCAAACCCAGCACCCCGGCATTACAAAGTGTTCGCATCGACTTCGCCACAGTGCCGACGTGGGAATTGTAAAGGAATAAAATATAGCACATGACACATTCATAGTGAAATGAGTAAGCAGTGAGGCTTGGAATATGAGAGTGCGCTGGTGAAACCCAGGGTAATCTTTAAGCATAATTATCTCCAAAGTGAAATGTGACTAATACAGCAGCAAGGGTTGACAAACCTTGTCTGCATATTAGAGAGGTATAGTAGGCTAACCTCTCTACTCCTACCTGGTTTTCAAGCCTGAAAATGAGTAAAAGTAATTAAAGGACGCTTTTTGCACCAGTGATGCATTGGGCATATGATGCCAGACTCATATGGTCATCATCATGCCAGCAACCTTTACTTCCCCGGACATTACCTGGTCCCCATTTTGAGGCTGAATTGATATGTGAGCCGGAGGTAGTTTTGATCAAGTCTGCCTAAGTGTTGATTTGAATCTGTCCACGAGGCCAGAAGGTGAGTGTGTAGCCCCTCTGGTACCATGGCTCACAAGCCTGTAAATAGGGCTGTTAAAGTATCTTCTTCCTTTTACAGCTGCAAACGTACTGCTGTCCGAACAAGGGGATGTCAAGTTGGCAGACTTTGGAGTGGCTGGTCAGCTCACAAACACAACCAACAAGAAACAGACATTTGTGGGAACTCCATTCTGGATGGCCCCTGAAGTTATAAAACAGTCAGCCTATGACACTAAGGTTTGTCATGTCGTCTAGTGACCTGTCATTGAGAATATTCACATAAACAAACGGAGGGAGAATCCTTAAGGCTGTTAAAACATTATATATAATAAATAGACAGACAGAGTATTGATCGGTCACTCTTAGAAAAAAGTAGATAAATAGGACACATAGACTAGTGTGTCCTTCTATCTTTCTACTTTTATCTGGGAGTGTCGGTCAGCACATTGTCTGTTTATTATATCTAATATTTTATCTAATATTGTAGGACAACTGAGACATGGGTGTTAACTTTACTTTGCTGCATAAACAAACAATTATATTTAGAGAGTTAAACATATAGTTTAGTAGTCTTATTATGCCTGTCTGAGTGTGTCTGTATACCTGTGAGTATATTTGCTTGTATGTGTCTATGTGTCTGTTTCTGTGAAACACTAGTTCTTTAACCAATGGGGTTAAAATAGGAGTGGTCTTGAACCCGACCACTGGAACAGCAACATAGAACATATGGCTGATAGTTGTTTTTAATTGGTCCTGTAGACATTGCATTATGACAAAAACTGGGAGTGAAATACTGCTCAGAGAAGGCATCTGAGAAAGTACTAAATACAGCACAGACTATGATTAAAAAGCTGAGCGAAGGAAATACAAAACATTTTGACCGAAGTCTTTGTCAGTGAAGTACTAAAAAGCAACACAGACTGTATTTAGAAAACTCAACGGACAAGGCAGCACAACTTATAAACAGACAGGGTCAACATGAAACCACAAATATGTGATAGGAGAAAATATGCAGCTTAAAGGCTTTACAGACATAAAAAAAAAAAAAAACAACCGAAGTCAGAACATTGGCTTGCATTTGAGCACACCCTTTTCCCTCTATTTGGCTCTCTAGTCACAATTTGTGTTGTATTTAGTAGTGTTTGATATCGGCACAACTGCAGTCACTCCTATTTGCGTCTCAGAAAGTCTAAAGGCACACATTAGGGTATGTTTGTTTCTCGTCCACAGGCAGACATTTGGAGTCTGGGTATCACAGCTATAGAACTGGCTAAAGGAGAACCTCCAAACTCAGAGCTGCATCCGATGAGGGTGCTGTTTTTGATCCCAAAGAACAACCCCCCACAGCTGACAGGCAATTATTCCAGAGCTTTCAAGGAGTTTGTGGAACTGTGCCTGAACAAAGATCCTAATAATGTAAGCTTTAAGACATGACCGTTAGAGACATCTTCTTCAGTTCCTCTTCTATCGCTTTGGGTGTCGTCGGAGATCTAAGGTTCTGCTTCTTGCTGTTCTTTCCTCAACCATAGACAGATTGTGCTGTTATAGAGTTTCTCTGATCTCTCTCCATCTTGTTCTTGTGCACTATGTCCTCCTCTTTTGATGTATGTGCCACACACAGCATTCTTTCTGAGTGGGCATACCATTTGATTTGCTGTCTTTATATGCAATTTAGAATTGTTTCTGTACTGTCTTTTTCTCTTATGATTCCTTTTTTTATTTTATCTCCTCTGGTCACCCCTGCAGCACTTCTCAGGCATCTGATTTCCAGTTTTCTTTTCTGGTTTATTTTGAATGACCATGACTGAAACTGTTTTCATTGAGTCATGATGAGAGGAATATCTGACTATTAATTTTTTCCCCTGACCTTTCCTGCTCTCACTGTCTCCTTCTTTCCCTCCCTCCTTCTTTGTCTTTCCTTCTTCAATACTTGTCTCTCTCTCATGCACACACGCATGTACGCACACACATACACCACCTTTTCCTCTATCATCCCTCCTCTTTAACGCTCCAACCCCTCCCCAATTCATTTTCCTTTTAAGCTTTGAATAATAAATGAATACAAGTGTATATACTAGCATCCCCCTCTTGATTTTCTCTCTGTTTTTTCTTTCGTTCCCCTCTTTCTCTCCTCCTTTCTTTCCCTTTTTCTCTCAGCATCCCCTTCTTTCTCTGTCTCTCAGTCACGTTGCCCACACAATATTTCTTGAGTTTGTTGAACTATTTGTCTCCAGTTTTAACCCTTCACTGTCTGACTTCTAACATCTCTGCCAGTTACATTCTTGTCTTGTCCACCTCTGTGCTGTTTTAATGCATGTCAGCTTCAGAAATACAAACAGATAACCATAAAAGGTAAATCAAATATAAACCTAATTTGATTCATAACTATCCTGTTGTGCCAGTATGTGTCACTTAGGGCTTGCAGTCTATTCTTCCTTTCCCCTGTATCGTCTGCAATCTTTTCGACAGTGTGGATGAAATCCAGTCCAAAACATTTAATATCTCTCATCAGCGTCCATTTTTTTGGACTTTTCTTGTATATCCTCAGTTCTTCAAACCATTTGTTTCCTATTTCCATGTCCTCTGCTTTATGACAGGCGCCCATATCAGACATGTAAACACTTACTGGTCTCCATGCTCTGGAAGACAGGAGAGACACACAACTCCTTACACAGATGTCCAAATACCAGCATTTGAAAGACGAGCCATGCGCTGACTGCCACCCTGAAAAGTAGACTGATGAGAACATGTTTCACCCAGAATGCAAATGCCAACTTGCTGATCTCACACTCCCTCCTGAAGTATCAAATGTCCCACCCAGACCTTACAACCACCACCCTCTTGGCTAAGGGACAACTTACCAACAGTCAGAACCACTATAACAGGCATCTTCTCCAAATCGTCTTTTAGGAGCCCTGCTATGAAGTCCATTATCGAAGGAAAGATCAACAGACTTTATCCACACAAGAGTTGAGAGTTTATACAGATGGCTCAGTGAAGATTGCAGTCAGCGATAGAGGAGGAGGGGAACACATAGAATGTCTAAATGGTTTTAAAATGGAGCGTCTGTACCAGTGGGTTCATGTTTCTCCAATTACAGAGCAGAGACAGATGCACTGGTGGCATGTTCTTTCCTAAATAGACAACAGCACAGCAGATTAACAGAGTAGTCTGTGTAAGCTCTACAAACAATTGTTAATCAAAAAGAAATTCAGTTTGCAGTCTTGATGCAACAGCTGTTTCATTTAGGCTCTTCAGTAAAACAATCTGTACTACAGTGGATTTTCAAGTCACTGTGGCTTGGAAGTCAGTGAAATAGCGAGCAGATGGACTGGCCAAAAGTGGCAGTGACATGATGAATCAAATAGTGACTTAACCTACCAAGAGACTAAGACATTAAGGATATGGCTGGATAATCAAATCAAATTTATTCCCCTCCTAGAATGGCTTGCTCACCTCTCAGACAGGAACAGTGTATCATATTCAGACTAAGGACAGGGCACAACAAACTTCCAACATATGTTGCAATTGTTTAGTATAGGAAATATAGAGATATGTCCTTGCAGCTATGCACCCGAAAATGTTGAGCATGTGCTCCTACACTGTAAACTCTATGCTGCTAACAGAGAAGCCATCTTACTTGTGTCAGCCTTAATGAAGACAAAAAGCTGGCTGGCACACAGGATTTGGACTGTACAATAACTTTTATAAAGTTTACCAGCCTCCTGATATGTTTCTGAAGGATCAGAGAAGAAGAACAGTACCTGTTTAAGGATTCTCTACCTGTTTGGTGATTCCTGCTCGCTTCTTCTCAGGATAAGTCCAGTTTTAGTGTCATCTTGTTTGTTACATAACTGTTTATACCTGTGGTTTTCACATGCACCTGACTTTCTTTCCGTATCTTTAGTGGTTTTTCCGCTTTTCACGTGCATATGTTAAAATTGAAATTTCATTAGAATTAAAAGATTTAACTTGGTTTTAAAACTATAATTTAGAGTATTTAATAGTATTAAAACATCGCTATACAGCGCCCTCCAGCCAAAGAACTGTTGAAGCATCCATTCATCAGACGAGCCAAGAAGACAGCTTACCTCACAGAGTTGATTGACAGGTACAAGAGGTGGAAGCAGGAGAAGGGACAGGACAGTGACAGTGAGAGCGACCAGTGAGTCTTAAGTTGTTTTGTTTATAGAGGGAAATCTTTCCATTAACAAAGTCAGATGTAAACTATTGTTTAGTCTCTCTCTCTCTCTCTCTCTCTCTCTCTCTCTCTCTCTCTCTCTCTCTCTCTCTCTCTCTCTCTCTCTCTCTCTCTCTCTCTTCTCTCTCTCTCTCTCTCTCTCTCTCTCTCTCTCTCTCTCTCACGCACGCACACACACACACACACACAACACATTACACTGAATAAAAAGCGAGGAAAAGACACTGGCAATGGATATGACACACATGGAGAAAACCTGATAATATGTAACTAGAGTAACTATACACTGGAATCCATGGGATCGAAGAAGTAAAAGGCAGATAAAAAACACAGACAGAAGAGAGTTAGAGAATGAAGTGAAAAAAGATGTGGAGGACATGGGATGCCTACACACAATAGTAAAAGAAAGGACGACTCAAGTATTTTAATTTGTTAGAGGGCCTATGCTTTTATGGGGATGAAAGAATATATAAACCGTCATGACTTTGGCACTTCTTGCTTCAGTAAAAATAAATACACACTTTGCCCATAAAATATCTACACATTTTAGCCAGAGAAAAATCTGGTAGAAAATGCTTGTATCTCCTGTCTCGTGTGCACATTGTGGGTCTAGAGTTCTGTTCACATTGTGTGGGTAGAGTTTGTGCACATTGTGTTGAGTAGAGTTCTGTGGTGAGTGGGTAAACAGTTGCCATACCTGATCTCTGGTAGAAGAGCTTGTTTCTGTGAAAGATTCCCTTGTGCACATCACACATGGAACCATGTATTTTGTTCCTTGAATGATATCTGTGTCTTTCCATGTGGTTTCACCATCCTTCAGATCATGTGTTGATGCTAGTATTCATGTGAGTAACACATGTTCCCAACTTTTGAGCCGTGACCCTAGGTGAAGTCATGACGGGTTTTCTGTGGGGCCGTCAGGCAGTGGTGAGCTATGTATATTTTTAACAAAGGAAGAAAAGCTATTGCATCCTGCACAGCGATTTACTTGCAAAATGTTACTCAGCTTGTGACTGGTTCATTCTTTGTGATACGTGTTTGCTGAATATCTAGGCTTGTTTGTTGCAGGTGGCAACAATTTCTCTTATGTGTCAGCTAATTCTGCAAAAAATAAGAAATCATACGTCCATAGAAATCAAATGATCCTGCTTCAAGGAATCTGACACCAGGCACATTGTGTTATTTTCCTTTTGTGTGTGTGTGACATCCGAGCAGCCAGCCATGAGCAGTCAGTCTTATTTTTGATGTTTTCATTATACTTTCAAAAAACCTATTTTTAATGTATGAGGTTGTGGGTCACCTTGCCTCCATAAAATAGGGTCACAACTCTTGAAAGTTTGGGAACCACTGGTGAAAAGAATATTATAATGCATATTGCTACTGTAGTTTGATCTAAACTGTAAACATGTTAGTACATAACATGTGTTACTGTGTAGATATCTGTGTTGGGGGCAGACTGTTTACACTGTGTTTTCTATGTCTGCAGGTCTGATGGGAATAGTGATGATGAGGAGTTTGATCAGTGGATTATGACTATCAAGGAACCAAAATCTAATGGGGTTTCTAATCAGGTTTGATATTAATTCCTTGTGCATGTCTGATTTTGTGTTGTACTTCTTCACATCTGCATTATCATGAAACTGTTGGCAGGACAAAGGAAGCACAGGAAGTGGGAGGGATGCGGAAAATAAATTGTCAGGAAGCAGCAGAAGCATAAATATAATCTTGGATTGTGGGAACATTTAATGGGGATAGGTCTAGGGAAAAGGATTTAGTTGGGACAAGATTATATAGAATCAGAGCAAGTGGGTGGGCAGGTTATATTAGCCTAAAGGTATTTGGACATTTCTCAGATATAAAGGTGGCTGCTGGGATGTTGACATAAATATATTTTTGTAATCAACCACTTAGACTGGACACATAGAAAAAGATTACTGTTTATGCCAGGTCTTATTTTAGATTTTTCATCTGTCATGTCTGACCTTCCATTTCAGTATGGAAGAAGTAATATTGGAACTAGACTGTGTGGAAGAAGAAATGTTAGGACTAGACTAAGAACGAGGAAATATTGAGAAGACTGTATTGAAGAAGAAATATTGGGACTAGACTATATGGAAGAAGAGACACTAGATATACAGTAGACTGTAAAGAACAGGGGTATTGGGACAAGACTAGAGTATATGGAAAAAGGGACTTTGAGACTAGACTATATGGAAGAGAATTTTAGAAAGGGTTAGGTGGGGCATGGCACAAAAAAGGTTGGGAAACACTGGGACATTTGGCTGTATGGACAAAAAGACATTGGGAAGAAGGGATGTTAGGATTGATATTATATGGAAGAAGAGGGTGAAAGTGAAGATCATTATCACTAAAATATTAGGAAATATGTACTGATATGTTTGAGAATTGCTGCTCTTGAATCCTGCCAACATGCAGCACTTGCACACTCTGACTGGTTTTATGACTGTTTTATATGTCGTTCTGCTTGTAGGAAACAAATTTGCTTGTTTGTTGCTTTAGATGTTCTGCATGTGCATCTAGTAATCACCACTGTGTCATTAAATTGTTCCCCTACTTGATAGTCAAATAACTAAAGATTAAATTGTGAGGTACCAGTGGTAGGTTGTAAGGTACCAGAGGTTAGATTGTGAGATACCAGAGGTTAGATTGTGAGATACCAGAGGTTAGATTGTGAGATACCAGAGGTTAGATTGTGAGATACCAGAGGTTAGACTGTGAGATACCAGAGGTTAGATTGAGTGGTACCAGAGGTTAGATTGTGAGATACCAGAGGTTAGATTGTGAGATACCAGAGGTTAGATTAAGTGGTACCAGAGGTTAGATTGTGAGGTACCAGAGGTTAGATTGTGAGGTACCAGTGTTACGTTGTAAGGTACCAGGGGTTAGACTGTGAGGTACCAGAGGTAGGTTGTAAGGTACCAGAGGTTAGATTGTGAGATACCAGAGGCTAGATTGTGAGGTACCAGAGGTAAGTTGTAAGGTACCAGAGGTAAGTTGTAAGGTACCAGAGGTTAGATTGTGAGGTGCCAGAGGTTTTATTGTGAGGTACCAGTGGTAGGTTGTAAGGTACCAGAGGTTAGATTGTGAGATACCAAGAGTTAGATTGTGAGATACCAGAGGTTAAATTGTGAGATACCAAAGGTTAGATTGTGAGATACCAAGAGTTAGATTGTGAGATACCAAGAGTAAGATTGTGGGGTACCAAAGGTTAGATTGTGAGATACCAGAGGTTAGATTGAGTGGTACCAGAGGTTAGACTATGAGGTACCAGCGGTTAGATTGAGTGGTACCAGAGGTTAGACTGTGAGATACCAGAGGTTAGATTGAGTGGTACCAAAGGTTAGACCATGAGATACCAGAGGTTAGATTGAGTGGTACCAGAGGTTAGACTGTGAGGCACCAGAGGTTAGATTGTGAGATACCAGAGGTTAGATTGTGAGATACCAGAGGTTAGATTGTGAGGTACCAGAGGTTAGATTGTGAGATACCAGAAGTTAGATTGTGAGATACCAAAGGTTAGATTGTGAGTTATCAGAGGTTAGATTGTGAGATACCAGAGGTAGGTTGTAAGGTACCAGAGGTTAGATTGTGAGGTACCAGAGGTTAGATTGTGAGATACCAGTGGTAGGTTGTAAGGTACCAGAGGTTAGATTGTGAGGTACCAGAGGTTAGATTGTGAGATACCAGAGGTTAGATTGTGAGATACCAAGAGTTAAATTGTGAGGTACCAAGAGTTAAATTGTGAGGTACCAAGAGTTAGATTGTGAGATACCAGAGGTTAGATTGTGAGATACCAGAGGTTAGATTGAGTGGTACCAGAGGTTAGATTGTGAGGTACCAGAGGTTAGTTTGTGAGGTACCAGAGGTAGGTTGTAAGGTACCAGAGGTTAGTTTGTGAGATACCAAGAGTTAGATTGTGAGATACCAGAGGTTAGATTATGAGATACCAGAGGTTAGATTGAGTGGTACTAGAGGTTAGATTGTGAGGTACCAGAAGTTAGTTTGTGAGGTACCAGTGGTAGGTTGTAAGGTACCAAAGGTTAGTTTGTGAGATACCAAGAGTTAGATTGTGAGGTACAAGAGGTTAGATTGTGAGGTACAAGAGGTTAGATTGTGAGATGCGAGAGGTTAGATTGTGAGAAACCAAGAGTTAGATTGTGAGATACCAAGAGTTAGATTGTGAGGTAACAGATGTTAGATTGTGAGGTAACAGAGGTTAGATTGTGAGATACCAAGAGTTAGATTGTGAGATACCAAGAGTTAGATTGTGAGATACCAAGAGGTTAGATTGTGAGATACCAAGAGTTAGATTGTGAGGTACCAAGATGTTAGATTGTGAGGAGATACCAAGAGTTAGATTGTGAGGTACCAGAGATTAGATTGAGTGGTACCAGAGGTTAGATTGTGAGATACCAAGGGTTAGATTGTGAGGTACCAGAGGTTATGTTGTGAGATACCAAGGGTTAGATTGTGAGGTACCAGAGGTTAGAAATTGAAGTAATAAGAGGTTTGATTGGGAAATAGCACTGATTAGGTGTAAGATAACATGGGGCATCTGTACAAAAGTAAGCAGTATGTACCATATATTAGGCTATATATATTTTTGGCCAGTTTTTAAAAAAAAATATGTCATATGTGAGCTATTCCTTATTTCTTAACTTTGATTCTAAACATTAGCGTAATTTACTATATAGACTATTATTTAGGCATGAGAGAGAAATACAAAAGAAAGGAGAGAGAATGAGATAGATGCAAAAATGAAAACTAATATAGCTTCACATATACTAGGCTACATCATTATGAGCTGCAGTGATTGACTCATTGACTAATATATTTCCTTCCTAAATAAATCTAATTTTATGAGGCTGTATTTATGTCAGTCGTATATAAGTGAGTGTGTGGTGAGGCACTCTCTCATGCACACTGTGTAGTGAGGCACTCTCTCATGCACACTGTGTAGTGAGGCACTCTCTCATGCACACTGTATAGTGAGGCACTCTCTCATGCACACTGTGTGTGTGGTGAGGCACTCTCTCATGCACACTGTGTAGTGAGGCACTCTCTCAAGCACACTGTGTAGTGAGGCACTCTCTCATGCACACTGTGTAGTGAGGCACTCTCTCATGCACACTGTAGTGAGGCACTCTCTCAAGCACACTGTGTAGTGAGGCACTCTCTCAAGCACACTGTGTAGTGAGCCACTCTCTCATGCACACTGTGTAGTGAGGCACTCTCTCAAGCACACTGTGTAGTGAGGCACTCTCTCATGCACACTGTGTAGTGAGGCACTCTCTCATGCACACTGTGTAGTGAGGCACTCTCTCATGCACACTGTGTGTGTGGTGAGGCACTCTCTCATGCACACTGTGTAGTGAGGCACTCTCTCAAGCACACTGTGTAGTGAGGCACTCTCTCATGCACACTGTGTAGTGAGGCACTCTCTCATGCACACTGTGTAGTGAGGCACTCTCTCATGCACACTGTGTAGTGAGGCACTCTCTCATGCACACTGTGTAGTGAGGCACTCTCTCATGCACACTGTAGTGAGGCACTCTCTCAAGCACACTGTGTAGTGAGGCACTCTCTCATGCACACTGTGTAGTGAGGCACTCTCTCATGCACACTGTGTAGTGAGGCACTCTCTCATGCACACTGTGTAGTGAGGCACTCTCTCATGCACACTGTGTAGTGAGGCACTCTCTCAAGCACACTGTGTAGTGAGGCACTCTCTCATGCACACTGTGTAGTGAGGCACTCTCTCATGCACACTGTGTGTGGTGAGGCACTCTCTCATGCACACTGTGTAGTGAGGCACTCTCTCAATCACACTGTGTAGTGAGGCACTCTCTCATGCACACTGTGTAGTGAGGCACTCTCTCATGCACACTGTGTAGTGAGGCACTCTCTCATGCACACTGTGTAGTGAGGCACTCTCTCATGCACACTGTGTAGTGAGGCACTCTCTCATGCACACTGTAGTGAGGCACTCTCTCAAGCACACTGTGTAGTGAGGCACTCTCTCATGCACACTGTGTAGTGAGGCACTCTCTCATGCACACTGTGTAGTGAGGCACTCTCTCATGCACACTGTGTAGTGAGGCACTCTCTCATGCACACTGTATAGTGAGGCACTCTCTCATGCACACTGTGTAGTGAGGCACTCTCTCATGCCCACTATGTGGTGAGCCACTCTCTCACGCATAATGTGTGGTGAGCCACTCTTTCATACACACTGTGTGGTGAGCCACTCTTTCATACACACTGTGTGGTGAGTCACTCTTTCATGCACACTGTGTGGTGAGCCACTCTTTTATGCACACTGTGTGTTGAGCCACTCTCTCATGCTCACTGTTTATATAAAAACCTTTTAGAACAGAGCCGACATTGGACTCTGACAGTCTGTGTCACTCTGATGTTTCACTGTGAGGCATAAAACCTTTGAGAACAAAGCCAGCATTGAACTCTGACAGTCTGTGTCACTCTGCTGTATAACTGTGTGGCATTAAACCTTTAAGAACAGAACCCTAATATTTCTTTCTGGCCCTGACATTGCTCTGACAAATTGTGCCATTCTCTCATGCACATTATGTAGAGTAAAACTTTTAAGAACAGCTTTGACCGACTGACAGTCAATCTCTTGCACGTTCTGTAGAGGAAACCCTTTGAGAGCACAGCCCTGGTGGTGATTTTGCATATCAGTGCTGCAAAGTTTGTGGAGTCATCTTCTTACATTGTTGCATATTTCCATTGTTAGGAAATCTTAGTGCTGGCTGTTGGTGACACTAATGGATAATACCTCTTTTTTTTCTCTCTCTCTCTGTGGTGACAGTTGCCTGGGTTCAGTCCCAGAAGTGACAAGATTTTTTCCAACCAGTATGCCCTGTGTGTTTGAACCAGCCTACGTTCAGATGGGTAGCAGATAATATATATATTTGATTTGGTAGGAGTAGGGGGTGGGGTGTTGTTTGGAAAGGAAAGGCAGCGAAAAAGGGAACCAGCATCCCCCACATCCAGTATCATGGATTAGTAAAGGGCCATTCAGCTAATTCAGATTTGGCCCCAGGAGGCCTTGCAAGTGGCCTGCGGATCATTGCCTGTTGTATTGATGATCTTTCTGTGCTCTGGCTTGGACCTCTAGGCCGTGACAATCCCCATTTTCAAAACTTTGACCTATAAGCAAACAAAGTTTAATAGCTCTGGCCTAAAATATATGAAGGTCTAAACAGCACAATCAATGAGAGTATCTTTATATTAATTGTGAGCTACGGTATGTTGAGTGTGTTTTACTATAGCCCTCATCTCCCAACTACCACCAGTTGGTGTTTAAAATATGGTGATAGTGCCATATCTCATTACACTTTAAGGCAGTGATTCCCAAAATATTTGAAGATACACAAGTTATTTTTTTTCTCTTTTACATACGAATAGTCTTAGGTCAGGGTGTCGTGGACAAATTTTTATTGAAAAAATGTGCTGCGACTAAGAAAAGTTTAGGAAACACTGCTTTAAGGCATTAAAAGGGGCTCTTTGTTTTCTTATATTTCCCATCTATAACAGTAAAAGGACCTGGTAAGGCTTTAAAAAGTAACCAGTTCTTATTCAGCAGCAGTATGGGACTGCAAAGATATGGGGTCACTGTGGTGATGTGGTTAAGCCATTTTCAGCTCTGAAGGTTGTGGATTCATTTGAAGACTCCATCCTTCACCTCATCAGTATGGGTGTTCTGGAGATCCCTAGAGGTTGTTGTCCCTAGAGGTTTTGGAGCAAAGGAGTTCATGTTTTGTGCAACACTCTCATTGATTAATAGCTGCTCTGCATAATGAAGTTGCCCCTTTACCTTTAAATACACACACTCCCCCCCATCCCCCCCCCACCCCCACAGTATGCAGCACCAGCACCATTTTTTAGACATAATTTCTTCAGCGCGTTTAGTATCATTGCTTTTAGTATCATTGCTTTTAGTATCATTGTTTTTAGTATCATTGTTGTTTAAAGAATACCTGCACCTTTTTAAAAATGAGTGCTTTTTTGGGGGGGGGGGGGGGGGGTTAAATCTAGAAAACAGAAAACCTTGTTAAGAACTGTTCTGTCTTCTCATTTGTACTCAAGAATATGTCTGTCTTCTATTTTGCATAGTCTGTGACTGAATTTCCAGGTTGATGTTTTTTTCTTTCTGTCCTTCCCCAATCTGTCACTTGTGTGTAGAATGCTGCCAGACAAAACCACTCTGTTCCTATGAAAACTACCCCAGAGAAAGTGGCCATGCATGCACAACCAATAGCACAGCCTGTCTCTCACTCTTCTGCCGGCAAGACAGCTCCAGTGACTCCGGCTAAGGTATCAGCAGGCAATGTAAGTTGTCTTCATTAACCCGCAGCTTGTTAAAATATCATCACCACCACCACCACCATCATCATCCTCATCACCATCATCATCCTCATCTCATCACCATCCCTATCATCATCATTATCACTACTACACCACATCATTATCACCATCACGTTGTCATCACAGCTATTTTTTTGTTTTGTTTTAAGAGAGCTTGCAGAGATTATTTCCATGATGTATTCCAAACTAGCTGTACCGGGCCATGCGTTGCTGTGGCTCAGTCTGGTTAGATGGAAAAGAAAGAAAACAGAAAGCGCACATGTCTAATATGTTTAATTTTACAATGCTTGTGGGTAGACAATATTTTGTTGTTGTTCCATTGTGTGCGCAGATGAGATTGTCTGGTTTTCTGACTCATAAAATAATTAAATCAAAATAAATCGAAATCTTTAAAAATTGCAAGTAACATTGCGATCGGAAACATTGAATTGGAATCTTTGTATGCAAAATGGTTACATTTAATGACAATTATGGTGGGTCCATCAACTGGTCCATCCACATACCTGCATACCATGGAAAGCCTCTTATCACTGGCCCCCTCAACAGTCATTCAGAAACGTATGATTATGTGATTACTAGGTAATGCACGATGGCGGTGCGCATATTGTTAGTAATGGCTGCCAGTGTATCTGAATATAATGGAGAATGGTATATATTTTAGTAAGCGCACATTTCTAATATGTTTAAGCATTTATTCTAAATGTAAGACTTTATTTTTAAGAATGCGTTCCTAGACTTCAAATACTTCAGTGTTGGAAGGTGTGATTCATAATTAGGAATCCTCTGGAAGATAGTTAAACTGTTGAACATTTAGGCAGTAGGGTTCACATCATTAAAGGCTTGCATCAGTTAAAATGACTTGTGTAGAGACTTTCCTGTCAGTTTGGAGGCACATCTCCAATATTGGTCAAATGTTTGATATCTGGAACTGAACCCTGGGAGTGTCTTTTATAAGTAAATAGATTTAGTTTCTCTTATGAGTGATAATTTAAGGGAATAGGTATACTTTCTGCTGAGTCAGTTTTGTATAGTGCAATGTTTCCTAAAGTGTGGGGGGTGGGGGCATTTTGATTGTTAAGGGGGCCATTCGAAAATGGACTTGTCCAGAGTTTAGGTTACATAAGGGGACATAATAATTTTAGAAAGGCTTAGGTGGGGCATGGAACGAAAAATAGGTTGGGAAACACTGGTTTAGTGAATAGGCTGACTTTCTGTTATGAGACACTTTTGTTTACTGAGTTAGCAGTTTCTGTTATGAGACAATGTTGAATAGAAAATGATAGTTTCTGCTATGTGTAAGTTTTGTTTTGTGAATAGGCTGACTTTCTGTTATGAGACAGTTTTGTTTAGTGAGTTAGCAGTTTCTGTTATGAGACAATGTTGAATAGTAAATGATTGTTTCTGCTATGTGTAAGTCTTGTTTAATGAATAGACTGAGTTTCTGTTATGAGACACTTTTGTTTAGTCAATAGACTGGGTAGTCCTGCTTCTCCTCTATCATTTGATATCCTGAAGCATATGTCATACCGTTTTCTGACACCTTTTCATGCTATGACAAAAGACTATAAAGACCCTCTTTCATCATCATCATCATCTTTTTATCTTTCCGTAAATCTTTCCACTTGAGACTTGATCAAGTTTGTATTGGTACTATTTCAGCGGTTTGAAATGAATACTGTCTGTATTCCATAGCTGTGGATTTGTGCTATATAATGATAGGGCTGGCTTCTTCTTTTTCTTAAAGTCTATACCGAGTGGAGCTGGTAGTTATGTCCATCCACAGCCTTTTGTCTCGTGTACATTCAGTCAACTGACACAGATGATCTTCCATGCCATGATGTCAGACTGTCCAGGCCTGGCTAAGGATACCCTTTTAAGGTTGTCAATTTGGTCATTTGTCAAAAGTAGACTTTTTCCTTTGGTGAGACACTGTCATCATGTGGATAATTTTGATTCCAAGTTTAACAACTATAGCTTTTGATTAATATGTTGTCTAGAGTGTTCTCCTGTCTCTACTTCTGTCTGTGCTTGCCATTAATACATGCCAGTTTGTTTATTATACATATATAATATGAGCCAAACATGACAGCTGCCTCTTTCTGATGTCCTTGATTTTGCATTTTAAAAACATTTAAGTTACTAATTTTGACTGCCCTTTTATTATTCACAGATGGTTGGTATTAATCTTTAGCCACTCTGTGGGCTAAATGAATTCCTCCTATTTCATTCACTCTGTCAGACTTGTATATAGACCATGTTGTATAGACATCATAATTGTTTTCAGGGAATTTATAATTAGAATAATTTAGATTTTTTGTTAGCACAAAAATTGGAAGTTGACAATGCAATTAGCATTTTATTGGTAATTCATCTCAGTAAAAATAAACTCTTAGTCTTAAGAGATGTTTTTATGTTCAGGCAGGTAATTATTCATTAGCTGTTTGAATGCTGTTGATAAAAACAATTGCCTTGCATATAATGGTCATCCTTACATGTAGATGTGTGCATATTGTGATGTATATCTATGTTGTAATAACTAATCTGCATGTTTCTATTTTCTGTTGTTCAATCTTGAGTGTGATGAAGTCAGTATTCAAGTTGCTTGGTGTTGCTTGAAATTAGGATATTCAGGAATATTTAGTTTTTGTGATCTGATGACACATTTTATTTAAATAGAGGCTATTTTGTAAACAGTATGTGTTAGGATATTGTTGGCTGAGTTCACAGATCTACAACTGATAAACATTGTAACAGAGAGTGAACATTGTGGTAATAAAGAAAGAGTAGTAACGGAGAATGAGATATAATTTAGTAATAGAACGTGAAAAAAAACACCAATATAGACTAGGAATACCAGTTGGAGGTTATAATGTGATCAGCAGTGAGATATTATTGGCAGCTGAAAATACAAAAGATACGCAACAACTGATAGACACTTTAATAATAAAAAGTAAAAAAACATAAAACATATGTTGATAGGAATGCAAGTTGGCATCCGTAAAGTGAATAACAGAATCACAAAATATCTGCAACAACTGTTGGACCTTGTAGTAAAGAGTGAAAAAAATAAAGAAAAACAAAAGCAATGATTATAACAAAAAAAAGGACAATATCAGAATCTGATATTGTAATAGAAGGAAATGTGATTATTCACGTCCATAAATTCAGATATTTTGAGGCAGTTGTAACAGGAGGAAGTTGTGTGAACTGTCACTGTCCTCTTTAAAGAACTAGTGAAAAGCCTGTCAGTCCTAGCAAGATCTTTAAGCTTGCTCATGGAGATAAAGGCATAAGGCAACCATCAGATGTGCCAACACCAACAGAATGCTATCAGAATTGCAGCTCACTGTTGATGCAAGCAATCAGTCATGAAATCTGTAACCGCTGCTCCAGATTCAATCTGCCGCCCACCATTTTTAGTGCAGCTCGCAACATAAAACCTCAGCGGGCACAGTGTATAACATCAGACATAAATCCACATATTACAGTGTCACACCAAGCACCCAACTCAGTAACTTGGCAACAGAATCTTTGGACCTGGACTTCCAGTCCAGAAATGGGAATGTTGCTTGAGCAAACAGCAGCTAGAAACAATAACTTTTAGAAGTGTCAGTGGTCAGCCAGCCTAACTATCGTAATCTCATACATTATTTATGTCATACATCATTTAACGGGTAATCATAAAGATTATAGACAAGAACTAAATCTTAATTGGAGACGATGATCACGAAAAGGATAAGCCAGACAGAAGCAGCATTTATTTAGTAAAAACAAATATTGTATGATATAGTGCATAACAAGAATGATTCAGGTTTTAAGTGGATTTAATAAATATAGGATTCCATGGATAGCATTGCATCAAGGGAGAAGTTAGGATAGGAATGACAGAAGAGAAAATGATTGCAGATGGGACTGTTCCTTAAAAAGAAAAAAACAAATAAAAACTGGCAAATACGTATGATGAACCTGAAAATTCATGGGGAAAAGGGGGGTGGGGATTCTTAACGTGAGTTGGTCTTGTTAATCACACTGGCTATTGTAATAGGTTGTGTTTCCCATGACTCACCATATCACAATGGAGCACTGTTGTTTAGAAAGATGAAAAGATATCAACAAAAAACTTGAAGTTTCTGAAAGAGATTACTGATGCGTTGTGTCAAACATGTTCGTTTGTATGGCAGTTCTTCTTCTTCTTCTTCTTCTTCTTCTTCTTCTTCTTCTTCTTCTTCTTCTTCTTCTTCTTCTTCTTCTTCTTCTTCTTCTTCTTCTTCTTCTTCTTCTTCTTCTTCTTCTGCTGCTTCTTCCTGTTCACCAGCTGTAAACTCTGGTAGAAAGCTCTGGGTGTTCATCCACTTCTGGACTGCGGTCCTGTTCCAGAAGCTGAGTGTTGCGTGTGCATCCATTTTACAGATCTGACTCATTTGTATGCAGACTGCTGGTTCCTTGCCTCTCAGACAGATGCACTCTGACTTCAAAGGAAGCTCCCACTTAGTTAACTCTTACGACATGCTTTTGGATAGGCAGTGATCTATTCACCCCAAAGGTTTTAGAATTGAATCCTACAAGGCAGATGTTTAAACATTTGCTTGGTGCCCAGGTTGATCCTATAATTGGTACCCTTATGTGTCGCTAAAAATGAAGGTGGCCTGTGCTGACCACATCACCTGTTGAGTGCTGGTTTTCTTCTATACAGATGGGTTCTTTTTTTTTTTTACTGTTTGTATGTTTCGTACATGATGTCTTCCCAGTTAGTCGCTAAATTGTTAACTCTATATTGCGTGCATGATGTCTTCCCAGTTAGTTGCTAATTTGTTAACTCTATGTTGCATACATGATGTCTTCCCAGATAGTTGCTCAATTGTTAACTCAATATTGCATGATGTCTTCCCAGATAATTGATAATTTGTTAACTCTTTGTTGCATGCATGAAGTCTTCCCATATAGTTGATAAATTGTTAACTAAATGCTATACATATATTTGTATCATATAGGTAGTTGACGGAAATCGTGGTGGGGCAGCACCATCTGTGATTCATGAAAAGAGTGGCTCGGATCCTGTTGACTTCAGTTCCCTTAGTATCAACAACAATGAAATTGTAAGTCCTCAGCTTTTTCTGTTGCTTTGTGAGCCTGCAGTTCAGTGTTGGTTGTTTTCGTTGCTCATTAACGTGGCAATATGCATTGTGCAGAATCAGCTGCTGGAACAACCATTTTAGTCAATTGTGTTGAAAACAGTGCTTTGGGAAATGGCTGTTAATTTTTTAAAAGACAATCTTGTAAATGGATTCTTTTCTATTTAAAATTTTTTTTATTTTGTTCTCATTTATTTTAACTGTTAGTGTGGAATTTGATTAAATTAGTATTTAACAGTCTTTTGTTTTCATTTTCTTCTTTTTGATGTTTAAGCATGATGGAATATGTAAAGGTGATGTCTTTATTTTATAATTATTTTTTGGGGTGTAGTTTTGAGTCAGAGTTTTGATTATTTAAGCAGCACAGATGTGTATGAGGGCTGTCTTCATTCTCTTTAAGCTAAATTGGAAAAAAAAACTAGCCTGCAATGTTTTTTCTTTCTTTCTTTTCACAATTGTAAAGAAAGGAATAGTTTATAAAAGAAAGTAGTTAAAAAAGGTAAAGCAAAGGACCCTTTTTACATCTTTGGCCCATTGGGCATATAGTGCGAGATCTGTATTTTTATAGACCCGCCGGGACCCAATGATTAAAAAGGTTATTGTCAAGCTGTGGCCACCTTTACTTCCCAGGAATTTGGTACCAATTTTAGGCTGCATCAACCTGGGAACCAAGTCCACTTTTGTAAAAAAAAAAAAAAAATCCATCTCAGTGTGGATTTGAACTCTAGACCTTGAGACCAGCAAGCTGTATAAGAAAATACTTTTCGCCTTATTATGATTAAGTTATATTTAAACAAATAATAACCATAGCCTGTGCATTGGTTTTGCATTGATAGGGAAGGAATAGCTTCTATCAGAAACACTTATCACTACCTAGTGATTCTGAAATAACAGCCCAGTCATATCAAACAGCTCAAACAGCCTTTCTTTTTAATATAGACATTTTCTACCTTTCATCTCCAGTAGAGTGAAGGCCCTAAACCACCTCATATCAAAGTCTTTATAGATGTGTTCAAGATTGGTTGGAGTTTGCTATGTTATGTTATCGCATTTGATGTCACAGCACATTGGGCATTCCAATGCACGCTCAGTCCCCCGATGCAGCAGCCACTCCAAAGTATCCCTGCTTATTTTTTCCATGAGGAGCTGGTTATAATGTCACCTATTTCTGCCTCAAAGGCGGCATAGATGTGCTTCAACATGCTTTAATTCCCAAGCCACACAGTCATGTGAGATTAATCATTATCCACTAACCGTTGATATCTGCCCTGACTATGCTTCTTCCTACATGCGTTGGTGCATTGCTTGCAGTTGATCAGCTCATTCATTACCTTTCACGCCAGCATGGTGTATAGATCTAGGTGAGGGATGCTAACTACGAATTCTGAATGCTGTCTACCCACACAGAGTGCATACTACTTTTTGGAGTTTACAGCTTGGTTGTCAGTGGGAGAAAGAGCCAGGCTCATGTTAGCTGAATGGCTTATTCTTAAACTGTTTACTGAATACTTGATTCTTATTCTCACCTTGATAAGTCAGAGGTTTCATTCTTAACTGGAGTATATATATAAAGTGCTTCATTCTTGTTAAGTTATGGATTTCATTCTTACCTTAAGTAAATGAAAAGTGCTTTATTCTTATCTTGTTAAAAGAATTTCATTCTTGTTGGCTTCTTCTTTTTCTTCTTCATGTTCATCGGCTATAAACTCCTGCAGAAAGTTCTGGTTATTCGTGCATCTCTGGACTTTGTTCTTATTCCAGAACCTGAGTTTTGCTTGCACATCTGTTTTACAGATGTGACTTATTTGAATGCAGATTTTTGGTTCTTTGCCTCTCAGGTAGACACTATCTGACTTCGAAGGAAGCCCCAGTTAATTGACTCTTATGTCATGCTTGTTGTGGGGGCAGTGGGTTTATTCTTTTTTTTCCCCACAAAGGGGTCCTGGAACCCATTCAGAGAAGTCTTGTTAACTGAGATCTGTTAATATCCTGTTAACTTAGAATTTCATTCTTAACTCTTATTTGAGTTACATTCTGATCTTGTTGAATGGATTTTCATTCTAAACTTGTTAGTTAAGTGTTTCAGTCAACAGTTTGTTTTTTTAGTGCATAAAGTAGTCACCATTGTGTTTTGTTAACAAAGTCTGTTATCTCCATTATTAGGGACACTGATAGCTGAAAATTCTGTTTATATAAGTTTTCACCTTGTAAATATGTTGTGTAGTTGTTTGCTGTTGACAGGTGTTGTCATTTTAGTATGGCTTTTTGCTTGTACTGTTTCTGTTATGATGGTGTGTTTACAGAATGGTATATTAGAAAATAGAAAAATGCTCTGTTGAGATGTATGCATGTGCACATACAGACACTTAGTTGCATGTTATTGTTTGCAAACTTAGTTACACATAACATACACAGACTCACATACATACATGACTGATTTTCACACATGCTTGTGAGAGCACACACTGAGTAACACACACATATTCACACTCTTCTCACATGTTTGTGAGAGCACACACTGAGTAACACACACACATATCCACAGAATCTTCATATGTGTTTGTGAGAGCACACACTGAGTAACACACACACATAATCACAGACTCTTCACACATGTTTGTGAGAGCACACACTGAGTAAGTAACACACACGTATTCACAGACTCTTCCGACTTGCTTGTGAAAGCACACACTGAGTAACACACACACATATTCACAGACTCTTCCCACATGTTTGTGAGAACACACACTGAGTAACACACCCACATATTCACAGACTTTTCACACATCTTTGTAAGAGCTTACACTAAGTAACACACACACATATTCACAGACTCTTCCCACATGATTGTGAGAGCACACACTGAGTAAGTAACACACACGCATATACACAGACTCTTTACACATATTTGTGAGAGCACACACTGAGTAATTAACACGCACACATATTCACAGACTGTTCACAAATGCATGTGATAGATAGTATGCACTCAAGGACATAACAGGCATGGCCCTCTTTTTCACATATGCTTATGAGCACAGACTCAGAGACACACAAACAAACTTATTTTTCAATTAATAGAAACAGAATGCTGATGTGGTTTGATAGATGTATGTGACATGATATGGCACCCTGTAACTGACATAGCTGATGGATGTATTGTATCATCTGCTTGACACGGTGGAGGCATCGTTTTGTTTTCCTCTTTGAATTTACAAATGTTTCATGTTTTTTAATTGAATCAAAATATTGTCATATTCAGTTGATTGATCTGTTAGTGCTGATGGTATATACTGCATTATGTAAGCTATTCCGTGTTGATCATTCAGTCTGTTTTCTTATGGTTTGCCCTTCAGTTTGTGGGAGTGCATGTTTGAAATGTGCAGAACTTTTGCCTGTACGTGGTGATTCCGAAAAGTATGGCTGAATGTTTAATTTGACGTTTTATCACTAGACAGAATTATGGCTGTGGAAATGAGACCATTAGAAGGGCAGTTCTCAGAGCTTAAAAATGTCAGGAATGTGAAATTTACCTCTGCTTCTTAGTGTTCACCGGCTTTAAATTCCAGCGGAAAGTCCTGTTTTGTTCATCCACTTCTGGACTTTGGTCTTGGGTATAAGTGTTGCATACACATATGTTTTACAGATCCAGCTTATTTGTATGCAGACTGTTGGTTTCTTACCTCTCAGGTGGATGCACTGTGATTTTGAAGCAAACTTTTACCTAAAATGAACAAGTAAAGTTTTCTTTCGTCAACCATCCAGCAATTCTTCCTTTGTTGTAGAGTAATCTGCATTAGTTATAAAACATGTAGCCAAATTTATTACTGAACTTGTACATCCACAAAATGTTGTGCAGTTTCTTATGTAACACTATGTCTGTCATTCATGTCTTACCGCACATAATGTCAGCACACATATAAAGACACACACATACACAGTCCAACACACAGTTTGGAAAAGGGGCCAAAACTTTAAATAATATTAACTTTCTCATTACTGTATTTGGGGATCCTTTGGTTATGAATTAACTTGCTGGCCAAATTGGGTGGATATAAGTTAGCTCTTCCTTACTTGACACTAAAAAGCATAACAGGAAAAGCAGACAGAAGAAACCAGATGGACGACAGCAGTACATTTTATTCTATGCGGTGGTCAGTGGTCCTTGACAACTGCAATTTGCCATCCTGTATTTGAGTATTTAGTGTTGATAGATTCTGAATGCTCCCTTCTACAGACATCTAGGCATGTGCGCAGCCATTCTGATAACCAACTGCCTCTCAGTGCAGGGAGTAAGGTGCTCCCTCGAGACTCCCAAGTAAGTCATCAGTCTCACATTCCACGTGAGAAACGTGTCTTCTTCTTCTTTTTAGTAATAGATGAGCAGCTGTCCATTTAAATTATACAGTTTTTTTTCACCGAGTTTGATTTACTATACTAACTTAGTGAAGCTTCTTCCTCTTTCATATTGTAAACATTATAGTTCACTGGCTCACTTTATTGGTCTAATAAGAGTGCCTTCTATCAGTTACATATTATAGACTAGCCATAATACTAGTCGAGTGAGTGAACTGTCTGTCAGTCATATAGTATAATTCACTAACTTTCTATACCAGTTGAGTGAGTTCACCCCGTCAGTAATGCATAATAGTTCTCTACACTTGCTATACTGGTTGAGTGAGTGAACCCTTTTTCTGTCATACATTATAGTTTACTGACTTACTATATAAGTTGAGTGAGCCCTCTGTCAGTCATATATTTAAGGTTTAAGGTACATCTGTCATACATTAATTATAGTTCACTAACTTACTATACCAGTCTGGTGAGTGAACCATCTGTCAGTCATGCATTATAATTCACTAGCTTTGCTGTACTAGTCACCCTCTGTCAGTCGTTATTGTAGTTTACAGTACTGTGTTGAGTAAGACTGAGCACAATTAGGATTCATTGTAGGGCAACATAATTTTCTTTTTGTTTCACTATGCAAAAAATAAAATAAAAATAGGTAATTTTACTCCTGTACACTTGACAGGCCGCCACTTATGCATGTTTTATTTGTTTAAAAATAGAGCTGTTTTTTGACGTAGTCTTGTAGTTGACTTTTAAATTCTAGAGTAGCAGATTAGCACACATGTATTCTGTTTGTAAATTTTGTATTGTGTCTGATTGATTTGTTTGAATTCTGTTAGAATTATCAGTCACATATTCTATAGTCAGCATTCAGAATTAATGTTCTCAGCTATCATTTAAGCATTCATCGTCCTTATCATCGTGTGCCCTGCCAACTGGCGTAGGCGCTCGTGCGTCTACACAGATCACGATCCCTGGTTGCCTGGAACAGCTGTCTTGATGAAATCCCTCCATGCCATCGTTTCAGTCCATCCATCATCATCTCTCTTGGTCGGCCTCTACCCCCTTTTCCACTGATCTTTCCAGTTGTCACAATGTTCTCCAATATCTCTCTTCTCATTATGTGGCCAAAGAACAGTGGTTTTTTTTTTTCTTTCTTATTGTTGTATATAGAGATCTACTTCCATTAGCTTCTTTCAAGCAATCGTGTCTAGTTACTCTGGCCATCCAAGGTATTAGTAACATTCGTCTCAGAAACCACATCTCTGTTGCTTCCAAATTTTTCTTAATTTGTTCACTGACATTCCAAGATTCCCTACCATACAGCAGAACAGGTTCTATGTATTGTTTTAGCACCCTCTTTATTTAAGCAATATTTACACACACACACACACACACACAAAGTCGGCTCTGTGGCTAAGTCGATGCGAATGCTTCGTAATGCCGGAATGCCGGATTTGATCCCAGCTGCGGGCCATACGCCTTGCATTGGTTTCGACAGTGGTATCAAGAAAGCCGACCGTCCAGAAAGCAATGGCAAACTACTGGATGTAAATTTGCCTAGAAAAACCACACATCAGCCAGGGGCTGTTGGGGTTGGTTCTGCAACGTCCTGTAAAGGATACGCAATAACCTTTACACACAAAAAATGTGTGTCCCCAAATATCTGTCTCTTCCAGTATGTGTCAGATTCTTTCCATGAGTACTGCATTATTTTAATGAATACTAAGTTTCTTAGGTAATTTTAGATTCTTTCCATGAGTACTGCATTATTTTAATGAATACTAAGTTTCTTCGGTAATTTCAGATTCTTTCCATGAGTACTGCATTATTTTAATGAATACTAAGTTTCTTCGGTAATTTCAGATTCTTTCCATGAGTACTGCATTATTTTAATGAATACTAAGTTTCTTCGGTAATTTCAGATTCTTTCCATAAATGTGATGTTACTGTAATGCACACTGTGTGCTTTCTCTAAAAATATAATCTTTGAGGAAATTGTTTTGTCCGTCTTTCTCCCTGTTATTTTCTTTCCATTGTTTTCAGTGTAATGGATACAGTGTTTGATGTCCAAATATCTGATCCTTGAGATGCTATTTTGGTCTCTTGTTTATGTCGTTTTCTTCCCATTGGTGTCATTTTATTTATATTGGTGTCATTTAAATAGAAACCATATTCTGTCTCTGAATATCTAATCCTTGGGAATATAGTTTTTATCTCTCATGGATGTCACTTTCTTGCCATTGGTGTCCTTATCTTTCCATTGGTCTTGTTTTCTTTTCATTGGTGTCATTTTCTTTCCATTGGTGTCATTTTAATGGAAACCATGTTCTGTCTGAATATCTAATCCTTGGGAATGTAGTTTTTATCTCTCACAGATGTCTCTTTCTTTCCATTAATGTCCTTTTCTCTCCCTGGATATAATTTTCTCTGTGATTGTCAAGGCTCTTGCTGTGAAATGTTATATTCTTGGAATGTAGCTGTTTATATGTCTGTTGTGACATTGGCAAGTGGTTGTGCCTTGTCTGAATGATGGGTGTTGAGATGCTGCCGTCTTTCTTGCTCAGCTTGATAGGCCCAAATCCCAGCATGACCTGCCTAGCATTATGGAGATTGGTAACCGCCGAAGCTTTGCTAGTGGTGAGGAGGACTACTACCGAAACCTGCATCAACAGCAGCAGCAGCAACAGCAGGGCCACTCACATCATCCCTATTACTACCAGCAGCAGCAGCAGCAACAACAGCGTGACCCAACTGTCCCTCCATTTGGAGGTTACCAAGTTCTGCCTCCTCCTGTAGTGAGTCTTGATTCCAGTACACCAGAACCAGCATGCTTGTTGTCTCTCCGCTAGCCTACATAAATAGCCTTTGTGCTTCATTAATCCCTGTGGTCTCATGTGTGTGGCCTCCTGCAGGATCTTGGGGAGCAGTCTGATTACCCAGAGTTTTTTTCCCCGTTAACCTCCCAAAGCTTCATTAATCATTAACCCCCAACACTGCTATTTTGTATTTCTGATTGCTGTTAACTTGTTGAAACAGGTGATTAATTGTAGAGAATTGTGGGTTTAGTGTTGGAAAGTATGTAGAGGGAAGGTAATAGATATATTTAAATGCTTTCCATATGCAGATGAACTATATATATGTATATATATATATATATATATATATATATATATATATATATATATATATATATATATATATATATATATATATATACATACACGCTCACTTACACACACACACACACACACACACACACACAGGGTGTTTGTAAAGTCTCACTACACTTTGTGTGTGGAATAAATTTAAAAATATCACCAAAAATATGCTTAAAAGGTAATTACTTTGGTAAAATAGTCACTGCTATGGTCTAACAAAGTTTTGGGGAAGCTGGAAAGTAACAGTGAAATATTCTGTGGCAAGAAACGTATTCAACAAATTTCTAACCATAATGGGATAAGAAATTTGTTTATTAGGACTCTTGCTATAAATCTTTGAACAACCATCTTTGTGTATCAACCACCATTTCAAAACACTCGTTCATAAAAAAAACAAAAAAAAAACTTCACTATTGACTGTGGAGCAATTTCCTTTTTTTGATGTCGTCGTGTACTTCATTTTTCAAATTGTTCTACATATAAAGTGAAGTGAGACTTTCAAACAACCTGTGTGTGTGTGTGCGCGTGCATGCGTGAGAGAGAGAGATTCTGAGAGGAAAGGCAGTGATAACCACAGAACCTTCTTCATTGATTGTTATTCTTAGATCAGCTTATTATGCATAATAAGGATAATATTTGTGATCCTTGTTTAAAGTCTGGACCAGGAGTTTGGGTCACCCTATCACAAAGTCCCATTGTTTCTATCCAGCGTCCTTATAGGGCCCACAAAACTATTTGATCTGTAACCAAGCAGCTTATAACATTCATTTTTATAAGCTAACCTTTTTAATAAACATGCTAATGATGCAGAAAATATGTGTTTATAATCAAGAAAGATTGTGTAATTTAGACTATTGTTTGCAATCCTTCAGTACAATCTAGACCGTTGTTGTATCCTTTGATAATTCCCGGTACTAGTTTTCAGACTGTTTTTAATATTTATGTTTGAAATCAAGAAAGTATTTTTTTTTTATAATTAAGGCAGGGTTTATACATTGAAAAGTTAGTTCATCATGTAGAAATTGACTATAATATAAACAACCTTTCTGATATATAATTTGTTTATTGTTCAGAGTTTGCAATAGTAGACTATTATGGTCACAATGTCACAGACATGCATGCTAAATTTAGACCTTCAACTTTCTTTTGAGATTAAATTAATAGTTCAGTTTTGTTTACTTCAAATAGGAAGCTGTTTAATTGATTGTTTATAAGTGCCTAATAAAACAATGTGGGACACACCCGCAAGTGCTGCATTTGACCAGGTGTCTGTGAGGATGCTAAGTATTGTCAGATAGATGTGTGGAGGCTACAGTTAAGATTTTAACCTGGACATTGTTTGTAACCTATAACTATTACTTTTGTGTATTTTTTTAATAGTTGTAATGTTGTTATTGGCTTACCAACATATAGTGCTTTTTTTAGACTTGCTTGACGGATACTAGCATGCTTTGTTCCCTTGTTTGTCTTTAATATTCTGCTATGGCGGCTCCTGCTGTTGCAGCAGTTTTGTGCTTAAGCTATGTATGTGTGGCTTGATTCAGTGCTGCTTGTTTTTGCTGTAGTAACACAGTTGTGCTGAACTCTCTCACTTCCAGGCGGGCTAGATGTGCCATAACCTTTTCCACATACGTCCCAATAATATTCTACCCTGTTCTCTTATTTGTTTACATTTGCAAAGTCAGAGAACACTAATCAAATCTGAGTGCCCACTCATAATTTTTCTTAGTGCAAACTCCCGCCCCCCCCCCCCCCCCCCCCCCCCTCCCCTCCTCCCTTCCCCACCGGCCCTCATTACTTGAGCATCTGTCAGAAAGACTTTTGGGACAGAGAGAATTAACCTGCCTGTGGCTTATCATTATGCTATATATTTAAAAAAACAACAGTGTATTGAAAGGCACTGATAGATAGAAGGACAATCTTTCTACTTCTTTCTTCGAGTGCCAATCAATAGATTGTCTGTTTGTTTATTATAAATAATGTTTCTACAGCCTCAATGGTTCACCTCTGTTTATTTATGTATAAAACTTATTGTATCGCTGCTGCCTTTTTATGTAGTCTGTGCTTTAACAAAATGTCCCCTCTCTCCACATTGGAAGTTGGCAGGAGTGCTTCCACTGCTGTCTTCGGGAATATTACCTGGTGAGATCCCAGTCTATTTCACAGTAGGACTCTTGTGCCAGTACCTAAAAGCCCTGAGAACATTCCCTGGTACTTGATTATAAATCGGTCTTTGAGAGTGTATTTTCATATGCAGTACAAAAAAAAGAGTTGTGATTAATAAAAAAATCATAACATAATTGTTTTAACTGCTCGTAACATATACATAGCATAGGCACTGAGAAACTTAATATAAGAAAGGTTAGAAAAACATAACAAAAAAGTATATGTCAGCTTTACAGAAACAATAACAGTAAATAAACAAAGGATGCTGTGGCGATTAACTTTTGAATAACAATGATAAACAAACCTCAGTACCAAAAAAATCAACTTACTCCTAAAAGACAGTCTTTTTTTTTCTTCGTGTTCTTTTTTGGGTAATAGTTAAATTGTTCTCCCCACCGACCGCCCATATTTATACTATCTCACTCCTGATTGGTCGTCCTTCAGCCTAGCTAACTTCTGATTGGTCGACCTCGAGCCATGCAACCTTGGGACACTATCAGGGGGTGTTCCGCACTGCCGTTGACATTACATGTTGTATTTTTCACCATGCCAGAGATTTTAACACTCCAAAAACATTAACAACTGGGTCTAACACACAACCCCTTTAGAGAGTGATGAAACCTATGTCACAGGCAGTTTCTTTCCCAGAATAAAAACATAAATGCAACCCAACAACAGACTGCCACACCCAAAACCTCGACCACAGTAGACTAGTCCAACAAACTTATTGATGGAACTTGACCTACTTTCCGTGGGGTGACCAACGTTTCAATAACCCTCCTATGTTAGCTGGCTGTAAGCTCCGTTGGAAAGTCCTGGTTTGTCTGTTTGGCTTGGTGCCAGGGCCTGAGTTTTTGTGTGTACAACCATTTTACTGGCTTATCAGTGAACAGTTGGTTGTTCCTGGCCGCTCAAGCAAATGCACTCTGACTTCAAAGGAAACTCCCAGTTGGTCAACTCCTATGACATGCTTGTTGGGGACCAGTGGATCTCCTCTTGTTTTTTCCCACAAAGGGGCCCCAGAACCCACATGGGGAGACAGTATTCAAAAATGTTAACAAATAAGCAAAATAATAATAATAATAATAAACAGAATTATATGAAATATGTTATATTTACCTGGATCGCTATATTTGATTATACAAATAATAGCAGTACCTCTTATGACATGGATCGAAACCCACTGCTGGCTGCATGGATTTTTATCATGGTATGGGGCGTTGCAGGTCGACCCAGCCTAAAATGGGTACCAGGATGGCTGTCCTGGGAAAGTAAAGACGGCCGGCGTAATGCTGACAACATCACCCCATCCAGTGCCGATAGGTCTGTAAAAATATGGGACGCTTTTCCCATATACCCATCGCGCCTAAGGCGTGAAAAGGGATCTTTACTTTACTTTACTTATGACATGAGTGATAGATAAAGATCCTATTTTCACACCTTTAGGCGTATCGGGTATATGAGAAGAGCTCTATATTTTTACAGAACTTCGCACTAGGTAGGTAATGTGGTCAGCATTACGCCGGCCATCCTCTCTTTCCCAGGACAGCCATCCTGGCACCAATTTTAGGCTGGGTCCAGGCAGATAGACTGGCTGGCTCTGCACCACTTGGTGGTGAATTGATTTATCACAAGTTAGATATTGTGAGGGCCCTTTGGGAACGGGTGAACAGTGGCGAGGTGCTGATGGATCATTACGGTCTGAGAAGAATGGCGCTGTGAGAAGTTACCAGGGGTTCTGGCTGACGCTGAACATTCAGGGGAAAGATGAGACGGATATAAGGGCTGTACCGAATAGTGACCAACTATTCGGCCGAATACGAATATAAATAGTGTATCATCATCATCAGGTGCCTTGCCGCCTGGCATGGGCGATCATGCTTTTCCACAATCTGCGATCTCCTGCAGCATGTATCCGTTTGTGTGCTGACACACCTCCATTCCATGCAACATGACTGTCAAGAATCTTCTATCGTTGTCTTCCTCTATCCCTCTTTCCACAGATCTTTCCAGTGGTCACCACATGTTCCATTTTCCCTCTTCTCATAAAATGGCCGAAAAACGACGACTGTCTCCTTCTGATGTCTGTGATTAGTTCTCTTCGGGCTCCCGCCTCTTTCAAAACCATCGAACGCACGGCCGTTCGTTTGATGTAATTTAAACGCACCTTCATATTCTCGTTAGCAATATCTACAAATTTGATTTGGGCGAAGACACCCTGAAAGAACGAAAAATGCATGATCTCTCTCTCTCCCCCCCTCTCGCTCTCTCTCTCTCTCACACGCATACACACACTGCAGTTGGCATTTTATGCAGTTTGTACCACGCAACCGGGTCGCAGTTTCCCCTGCTACGACAGACTTAGGCAACAGCAACGATTGTGTTAATGAGAGAGTTATTTCAGTCCATCGCAGTGTATGCAGAAACAGGTGTAAGGTAACCACTATTCGTATTTGGCCCGACCGCAACTATTCGGCCGAATACCAAATAGTTATTAGGTCCACTATTCGGCCTTGAAGCGAATACAAAGCGAATATTCTGTATAGCCCTAGCGGATATACAATCAGATGGTTACCAGCACCATCGGAATTGGAACTCTTTGCTTGCTGCTGAAGGTGGGGAATGAGCACTTATGGCAGTGTCCAGTGTGCTGTGATATCGATTCTTAATTCAACATTCAAATTATAGCCATGGTTTAGCATTTCTGAAGTTTACTTTAATGTCAGTATGCACTACATTAAATGAAAAGAAGGCTCCTCCCAAATGGGTTCTGGGGCCTCATTGTGGGAGTAAAAGTAAAAGATCTACTGCCCCCTAACAAGCATGCTTTAACAGATGACTAATTAAGGTTTTTGCTGAAAAAAGAGTTGCATCAAATTTTGATTAGACATTCCCTGTTTTGTGGGAAAACAAAAAGAATATACCCACTGCTCCCCTAATAAGCATAATGTAAAAAGCGAGGCGAGGGACCAACAATCTATATACAAGTAAGCCAGTTCAGTAAAATGTATGTGCACACAAAGCTCAAGTTCTGGAACAAGACTTAAGTTGAGAGTTTGTTTCATCGATTCGCTTCACAACTTGTTTTTATGGAGATCCCCGGGGATCATCATTGGAGCTACAGAATTGGTGCTTTGTGCTGTGCTCACCAAGTGGCTAGCCATTCTGCTAAGAGAGACCTGGCTAGGATAATTATGTGCAGGGAAGTTGATCCTCTCGACTTTAATTTAAAAAAAATAACGTTGCGTGGGGGGGGGGGGGGGGGGCGGATGCACGGACGTAATTACTGTACCTAATTATGAGAGTTGCTCCTGTATAGGTTATGGGGCGAAAGAATGGACCCACTGCTCCATAACAAGCGCGGTAAAAAGCGAATAATTAGGGATTTTCTCTCCAAAGTCGGAGCACATCTGCCTGAGCGGCGAGATGCAAACAATCTGCATACAAACTAGGCAGATCTGTAAAATGGATGTGCACGCAAAGCTTAAGTTCTGGTACAAGACCAGAGTCCAGAAGTGGATGAACACCTAGAACTTTCCCTTGAGTTTACAGCTGGGGAAGACTAAGAAAAAGAAGAAGTAGAGAAGCTTTAATTCAGAAAAATGATTTCTTTGGTGTTCAGTCATGTCATTGACTTTCTGTGTTATATTGTTGACAGGGAACTGGTTTTCCAAGAGTTATTGAATGAACTCAGAGTATTTATAACTTGTACATTTGATGAATTCTTCATAACTGTGTCTTATTGCAGCCTACAAAGCCAGCCAAGAACCGAGCTCCTGAACGACCCGAGACATCAGCAACTCTTACCTCTGCAGTCAAGCCAATCTTAACTCAGGTATGTGTGATAGTACAGATGGTGTTGCTGTCTTTGGTGTTGGCGGCTTAGGGTTATGAACAAAATTCACTGTTCTGCCACACCAGGGTCTGAATTCAGCTGCGGTCGATTTGGTCACAGACCACTTTGAGTTGAATTTGACTATAGTAATGAGTATGAAACTGTTGAGAAAGCAGTGGCAAAATACTGGACATAATCTTGCTAAGTAAAACCAGAACAGCCAGGGAATCCTGCAGTGGGTTTGTGACTCGCTGGAATGGATGTGCAGCCACACCTTCTCCTTGATTGAAACCATTCACACTTACGACCACAACAAGAAAATAGTAAACAGAGAAGGATAACTACATTGATAGGGTCTAAACAGTTCCAGGAACTTATACAGTATAGTGTGTGTTGCATTATGTACAGTAGTTATGCTACATTGATTTACATTTTTTGGGTTTTATATGCGGTTCTTAAAATCGACTTAAAATGAACAGGCAGACAGATTGGCTGGATCTGCACCACTGGGTGGTGAATTGATACATGACAAGGCAGATGTGGTCAAGGCCCTTTGGGAACAAGCAACAGAATCAGTAGAGAAACTAGATTATTATGGCCCTTAGAGAATGAGGCACCTGGGTGTAACCAGAGAATCTGGCCGGCTCACTACACTCGGAGGAAAGGCAAGACGGACGTATAACCAGATTTTGACCAGTAGCATCAGTATTGGAACTCTGCGCTGGCTGCTGAAGATGAGGACAGAGCACACATGTAAATGACCTGAGTGCTGTGATGTCACTTCTTGACTTAACTCAACTCAACTCTTAAAATCGATTTGAAGTTTGATATTGCGAAGTGGCTTTATTTTCAATTTAACTTATTTATAGCTAATTCTATTACTTCCGTTTACAGAGTGAATATACTTCAGCTGTTGTGTAGATATAACTAACTTTATTACTTGAATGTAAGAAGGATACAACAAATTAGTAGTAATTGTACATTTTTGAATTTGTATACATATATATGCCATTCAATGACTTAATTTAATTTGTATACAAATATATGCCATTCAATGACTTCATTTAATTTGTATACATACATTTGCCATTCAATGACTTTATTTAATTTGTATACATATATATGCCACTCAATGACTTCATTAAATTTGTATACATATATATGCCATTAAATGACTTCATTTAATTTGTATACATATATATGCCATTCAATGACTTCAGTTACAAGAAGAATACAACAATGAGTTCCGGCGCATTGGAAGACCCCTGCCACTTCTAGAAGTGATCAGAGAACTACAGAACGCCTTCGATCTAGCAGAGAGGTCTTGCCCTGGTCTGACTGATGATCTGGTATCCGAAGTTCTGACCAGGCTCTTGGTGTCACCGTCATTGAATTCTTCATCTCAGTTTTCACATTCAGGTGAGACTGAGGTCAGACGAGCTGTGGACAGAATCAAGAGGTTAGTACAAATTATGAAGCTTTCTTTAGTTGTATAGTTCATCTGTTTTTCTGAAGCTTCATTTAGTTGTCTAGTTTGACTGTCTTTCTGAAGCTTCGTTTAGTTGTCTAGTTGGACTGTCTTTGTTCTGTCTAAGCTTCGTTTAGTTGTTTAGTTGTTAGACTGTCTTTCTGAAGCTATTTTCGTTTAGTTGTTTAGTTTAGAGTTGTCTTTCTGAAGCTTTGTTTAGTTGTATAACTCATCTGTTTTTTTGTCATTTAGTTGGACTGTCTTTCTGAAGTTTTTTTTGTTTAGTTGTCTAGTTGGACTGTCTTTCTGAAGCTTCGTTTAGTTGTCTAGTTAGACTGTCTTTCTGAAGCTTCGTTTAGTTGTCTAGTTAGACTGTCTTTCTGAAGCTTTGTTTAGTTGTCTAGTTGGACTGTCTTTCTGAAGCTTCGTTTAGTTGTCTAGTTAGACTGTCTTTCTGAAGCTTTGTTTAGTTGTCTAGTTAGACTGTCTTTCTGAAGCTTTGTTTAGTTGTCTAGTTGGACTGTCTTTCTGAAGCATTGTTGAGTTGTCTATTTGGACTCTTTTTGAAGCATTGTTGAGTTGTCTAGTTGGACTGTCTTTCTGAAGCTTTGTTTAGTTGTCTAGTTAGACTGTCTTTCTGAAGCTTCGTTTAGTTGTCTAGTTGGACTGTCTTTCTGAAGCTTCGTTTAGTTGTCTAGTTAGACTGTCTTTCTGAAGCTTTGTTTAGTTGTCTAGTTGGACTGTCTTTCTGAAGCTTTGTTTAGTTGTATAATTCATCTGTTTTTCTGAAGCTTCATTTAGTTGTCTAGTTGGACTGTCTTTCTGAAGTTTTGTTTAGTTGTCTAGTTGGACTGTCTTTCTGAAGCTTCGTTTAGTTGTCTAGTTGGACTGTCTTTCTGAAGCTTCATTTAGTTGTCTAGTTGGACTGTCTTTCTTAAGCATTGTTTAGAGTTCTTGTCATGTTTCTGACATTGTAATTTTTCTGACATTTTTTGTCATATTTCTGATATGTAAGATATTTAGAGTTAGGCTTTTTGTCAAATTTCTGACTTTTAAATCTATAGAAAGCATTCTTTTCATATTTCTTCTTAGTTTTCATCTTCTTTTTTTTTTCCTTGATCTTCTTTTTCTTGATCTTCTTCTTCTTCTTCTTCGTTTTCCTTTTCTTATTTTCTTTTTCTGTGGCATTACCCCTAAAAGGGCAGTTTTTAATGTTGTGTTGTGATCTACGGCTAGGCTGTACCTTTCAGCCCAATATGTCCATGTTCAGCAGATAGTTGCCTTGCATGACATGCTTGGTAAGAGGCAGTGGGTCTTATCGCACCCACCCGACTGGGGCTCTGGCACCCACATGGGGAAATATTTCTAGATGATTGTGCTTTTTGTCTCCCTAAGAAATTTACATCTTCAGATGAATACAGAAGATACATTTGTAATAAATTCCCTTAGGCAGGAATTTTTTCAACATGCCTTAAAGTAATTTAATCACCTGGTGAACAACAACAGTAAAAACTCCAGTCATTACTGTATTTACCATGTTTGGGCGGGTATGGGCAGTGGGTTTAAGCCTGAGGAATTAGGCCCACATGGCTAGTGCAGTGACATGAACTGTGCAGGGAAGGATCGTTTGCCCAGTCCCCTTCCTCACAGGCACGCAGACAGTGTTCATCGCATCTTCTAAAGGGGACAGACCAACATCTGTAACATCTTCAGTTGCCACAGACTGCAGGTTAGGATTTCGCCCTCAGCAGGTAAAAAAACCCATAAACCTTACTGAAGATTCGAACCTGGGTCCCTGTATGACAGCTGAGTGTCCTTAATAGTTTAACTGGCCGCAACTCATGGGCGTTACCGATTTATATGATACTGGTTTTGGATGACAAATTTTGTTTTCAGGAAACTTAAATGTGTGCCTTTTACTTGTTTCATTTTTCTCTGCAGGCCATCCTAGATAACACACATCCGTGTGTATTTGTATGTCCAAACATGGCATCCAAGTTTGAAGCTATGGGTATCTATCTGCAGAACCTACGGGGAACAACATAACTCGTACACAGCCTACAGAAAGGCAACAGTTTGGCTTTTACGTGTGCTGTTTGTATATGAGTATATTCATATATCTGTGTGCTCGTATTTTACACGTAGCTGCAGCGTGCATGTGTGAGTTTGGGAGGGCATAATGCAGTGCTGTTTTGTTTTCTTTCATTTTTTAAATTGCAGACCTCTCACCTTACGTGATTCGGCGGTAGTCCGCTTTGTTTTACGCCATCTGAATTTTTACAGGTTGACAGATTTTCCTTGCTAATGGATTATCTGCAGACGAATATTTTTCATTTAATACATTGTGTCTGTGCAGACATTTCTACATTCATTTATTGTATCTGTACAGAAAGTTACATTTCACACATTGTTTCTCTACAACATTCTGCATTCATACATTTTTTTCTCTAAAGGCATTCTTCATTCATTCATTATATCTTTACAGACAGTATGTTAACTATCATATACGTTATCTTTACTGACATTCTGCATTCATACATTATTTCATTACACTCACTCACTGACTGAGTCGCTCCACTTCCACCTTTGGGTGTAGAGGTTTGCCAGAGAGATCACCAGACGTTTCAGCGTTTCATTACAAACTATATTAGTATTGTGTTTCTTTATAAAAATTATGTATTCATATGTGGTTTCTGCACAAACATTCTACATTTAAACATATCTTTGCAGACATTACATTTAATCATTATATCTCTAAAGACATTCTTCCTTAAAATATGGTATCTCTGCAGACATTCTACAATTCAGATATGATATATTTGCAGATATTCTACATTTCAAATATTATATCTTTCAGACATTTTACATTCAAACATTACATCTCTGCAGACATTCTACATTCCAAATATTATATTTCTGCAGACATTCTACATTCACACATTGTATCTCTAACAACATTCTACATTCAAACATTACATCTCTAAAGACATTCTACATTCAAACATTATATCTCTGCAGACATTCTACATTCAAACATTGTATCTTTAAAGACATTCTACATTCAAACATTAAATCTCTGCAGACATTCTATATTTATACATTATTTCTCTGCAGACATTCAACATTTAAACATATTTCTAAAGACATTCTGCATTCAGACATTATTTATCTAAAGACATTCTTATTCAAACATTGTTTCTGTGCAGACATTTTGCATTCTTGCATTGTTTTTCTACAATCATTCTTCAAAATTACATTAAGTATCAACACCCTCATTGTAAATGTACTTGCTATATGCAGACATTGATTAGTGAATTATATAAAGCATTCATCATTAATATTGTGCATATTGGCAGACTTGTAGCATTAATAGGTTGAGTTTTTATAAATAGTCTCCTATAATACATTGGGTATACAGTGACATTAATGTTGTACTGACTGAGACCATATATATCATTAATGCATTTTTTTTACAGACATTTTTCATTAATAAATTAATTATTCACTGTCCCTTTTGAATTGGATGATGCACGACCAACTGTTCCTGTTTATCAACACTATAAAAATCCTATTTTAATGTGGGGAGGGGGAAAAATACAGATTAATTGCAGTAGGAATATTTGCAAAGCAGGGAATTATAACAAACAGAGAGGGACATATGGCATAAGAGAAAAAAATTCAATCTGTAAAAAAAAGAATCAGAAGATATGTTAGCAGTTGCCTCTGTTAAGCTAGTGGGTATTCAATGCAGGAATTATATTAGAGCAAATGTTCATGATTGAAACTTTGAGCGTTCACAAAAAAAAAAAACAATTAAAAAAAATTTCCATATGGCAGAATCACAGATAGTTACTGATAGAATATGCACAAATTATTACAGTAAATCTGCATCGAGTCAGATTTTTGTTCAAAACTGACTTTTCCTGGCAGGTTTGCCCAGCCTTTAATGGCTACCAGGCAATGTCTTGGAAAGTAAAGTTGGTTGGCGTGCTGTTGAGCATATCACCCACTGAAGGCTAACTGGTCTATAAAAAATATAAAACTAACAATATGTGCCTGGTGCAGCACTGGTGTAAAGATCCTTATTTTTATTACAGGTTTTTTTTTTTAATGGGCGCCCACGGGTATTAACTAAGGCTGTACCCAATAGTGATTTTCACTATTCAGCCGAATACGAATAGCGGGACCAACTATTCGGCCGAATACAAATAGTGTATCATCATCATCAGGTGCCTTGCCGACTGGCATGGGCGATTGTGCCTCACCACAATCTGCGATCTACTGCAGCATGTATTAGTTTGTGTGCTGACACACCTCCATGCCATGCAACAAGACTGTCAAGAATCTTCTCTCGTTGTCTTCCTCTATACCTCTTTCCACAGATCTTTCCAGTGGTCACAGCAAGTTTCATTTTCCTTCTTCTCATAACATGGCCGAAAAATGATGACTGTCTCCTTCTGATATCTGTGATTAGTTGTCTTCAGGCTCCCGCCTCTTTCAAAATCTCTTGGTTGCTTTTTTGGGCTGTCCAAGGTATTTTCAGCATTGTTCTGTAAAACTATATCTCTGAGGATTATTTTCCACCAGTCTAGTGGGTCAGTGTCTCTTGGGATACAAGGCTCTGATAGGTAGTTATTCACTTCTGTTTCAATGGTAAATCGAATGTCGCTTTTCTGTACCTTCTGTACCTATTTTGTTAATGTGAGAATTATTTCAGTCTATAGCAGCGTATGCAGAAACGGGTGTAAGGTAACCACTATTCCTATTCGGCCCGACCACAACTATTCAGCCAAATACCGAATAGTTAATAGGTCCACTATGCAGCCCCGAAGCGAAAACGAAGCGAATATTCGGTACAGCCGTAGTATTAACTGCAGTTCATTTAATTGTTAAAATTCAACATGGAACAGTTACAAATTGTATTTAATGGAACATTCAACTATTGATGTTAAAAAATATCTTTAGAATTAAGCATGAAATTTTCATTATGTCCTAACACTTGGGTGCTCACAACTTTTCTTTTAACTGTTATAGATTCAACATAGAACAATTACAGATTGTCTTTAATGCAACATTCAACTATTGCCGTTAAAAAATATCTTTAAAATTAAGCATTACATTTTCATTATGCTCTAACACTTGGGTGCTCACAACTGTGTTTTTAACTGTTATAGATTCAACACGGAGCAGTCACAGATGATTGTTGATGAATATTGACAAACTATTACTAGTTTTTAAAAAAATGAACATTTATTTTTCCATTATATAATAACGCACTAAGGCATTCACAGCTGTTTATCTGAAGCAGTCACATGTGAGAAAATTGAACAAACTTTGGCTTGTGTATTCATTACATAGAGGATTTGAAACTTGTGTGGACAATCATCAGAAACATTTTTCACTTAGTCTTTTGTTCTCTCTCTGTTAACCTTGCTTATTATTTCATCTATTCAAGCTGTGTTTTGGTTTGCATGTTTTATCTGTGTTAATCTATTGTGTATTCCCTCCCCCTGAGTACATTCCCCTAAAGCAGGGCTATTCAACTAAGTTTACTCCGGGGCTAAATGTTGAAAATTGGGATCATCAAGGGCCGGAGGCTGGAGCCCAAGCGTAGAAAGATCATTAATCTAATACAACTGACAGTGTTCCACGGGCCACTTGCTAGACCTGTGCAGGCCGTGCCTTAAATTTGTATTTTCTGCCTGTATTTGGCAAAAGGAAGGAATCGTTTATAAATCCTATCCTTATGTGAGGAAGTGAATCATGGACAAAGGATCGATTAGTGGAAAATTTTTTGGAAACTGCAGAGATGTGGTTTTATAGATGGAAAATTGGAATACTCAGATAAAAAAAAAGTAATGCAGTTGTCTTGAAAGAAACTGACCGATGAAGAGAACTGGTTGCCCAGATCAGAAGGAGACAATCTACATTTCGTGGGTCATGTGATAAGAAGAAGAAAATCGTTACAGTGAAAATGTTGGAGAAAGGGGGAGGCAGAAGGAGACTGAGAAAGAAAATGCTGGATAATTTGACATCATGGCATGGCGGATCAGCTGTGTCAAAGTTAAATTACACACGACAGAAGGTTGTGGATAGACATGACTACCACCACAGCATGGTATGGACTTTAAGAAGAAGAAACCATGTAAGACGAGGTGTCTTTGAGCCTGAAGATTTTGAGCCACATAGCTAGTGCAGCCGCTACAAGATGTGCAGGTTAGGATTCTAGTTTTGCCCCTGACAGAAACACATCTATCATCTTACCAAGGATTTTGAGCATGGGTCTTCTGATTAAAAGCCCAGCGTCCTAACTGGCCAGCTGCTTTTCTTTAATGCTCCTTCAGTGCTCTGAAAAATGTATGTGTTCCTCTTATTTTAAGCTGCTTCATCTGAGCTGAGATTTAATGTTCCCACGGTGTCAAACTTGTATGTTCCTTGCTTTGTCGCAAATGTATTTTCCCACTGTTAAACTCCTGTACTTCCTTTTTTTAAGGCTTGTTTCTCCTGTGTTAAGCATGTACCTTTCCCCTTGGTTAAACTGCAATGTTCCTTTATTTTTAACTCATCTTTGTATGGTTTCACTTCTGTTGAACTTGTTAAACTTGTGTTTTCCCTCATGTTAAACTCAAATTTATTTTGCTAGATTTGCATGTTAAGCTTGTATGTTCCCTCATGTTAAACTTGTATGTTCCTCTCATGATGTTCCCTCATGTTAAACTTGTATGGTCCCTCATGTTAAGCTTATCTTTTATTTTGCTAGGCTTCCCCATGTAGATACCGGTGCTCCATTGTGGGTAAAACTAGAATAGACCCACTGCCTCTCAAGTGTGTCATAGGAGTAGACTAATTTGGGGGTGAGGGTTGGAGAGGTTACCTTGAAGTCGGATTGCATCTGCCTGAAAGGCAAGGAGCCAACAATCCGCATACAAATAAGCCAAATCTGTAAAACAG